CATCACCAGCCTGAGTTCATTAACCTTGGAGGGGCTGTACATGGGTCCCTCCTTCCTTCTGGAAAGCACCATCTACCCTGAAAGGGGACAGTATAGGTTTTAGTTTATTGAGCAGATGCATAAAACCCATTATAATAGAGTCAGTTCCAACTCATGGCAGCAACACGTGTTCTACAGGGTAGACCAGGGCTCCATAGGCTTTTCTTGGTTGTAATCTTTATGGAAGCAAATCACCAGGTCTTTCTTCTATGGCACAGCTGGGTAGGTTTGAACTACCAGTCTTTGGGTTAGTTGCTGTTAGGTGCTCAGTCAGTTAGTTGTTGGGGCTGTTGAGTTGGTTTCAACTCACAGCAACTCTGTGTGCCCTAGAAGAAACACTGCCTGGTCCCGTGCCATCCTTGCACTCATTGCTGTGCTTAACAAGCCCATTGCTGCAGCCACTGTGTCAGTCCATCCCGTTGGGAGTCTTCCCCTTTTTTGCTGACTGTACTCTACCTAGTGTGATGTCCTCCAGAGACTAGAACCTCTGACAACATGACCAAAGTACGGAAAACAAAGTCTGGCTGTTCTTGCTTCTAAGGAGCATTCCTGCTGCTCTTCGTACAAGACAGATTTGTTCATTCTTCTGGCAGCCCATGGGTATTTTCAATATCCTTGGCTAGCACTACAGTTCAGATGCATCCACTCTTCTGCTGTCTCCCTTATTCATTGCCCAGCTTTCGTATGCATATGATGTGATTTAAAAGACCTTGGCTTGGGTCAGGTGCACCCTAGTCTTCAAAGTAACATCTATGCTCTTTAACACATTAAAGAGGTCTTTTGCAGCAAATTTTTCAGTGCAATTTCTTGACTGCTGCTTCCAGGGGCATTGGTTATGGATCCAAGTAAAATGAAATCCCTGACCACTTCATTTTTTTCTCCATTTATTGTGATGTTGCATATTGGTCCAGTTGTGAGGATTTTTGGTTTCTTTATGTTGAGGTTTAATCCTAATTAAAGGCTGTCAGCTGCAAATTGCAACATCCAGGAACATGTAGGCACATGTATATAGCTTTACAAAAAAGGCCTCTGGTTTGCACTCGACTTCTAATCCAAAGGTTAGTGGATTGGACCCACCCAGCAGTGCTGCAGAAGAAAAGGCCTGGCAATCTGCTTCTGTAAAGATTACAGCTAAGAAAACCCTGTGGAGCAGTTCTGCTCTATAATACATGGAGTCACCAGGAGTCAGAGACAGCGTAAGGCCTATGAGTTATATTTTTACACCGTTATCTTGTTAAATCTTCACAGTAACCCCATGAGGTGGGTATCACCATTTTATATGCTTAGAAATAGGCTCAGCCACAGCTAGCGTGTGGCAGAACTGAATTTGAGCCCAGGTGTGTCCTAGACCCAAATTTCTTCCTTTGGAGTAGAGCCCAGAAAACTGTAGTTAGAGGAATGTGGGTGTGGTGGGTGTGGCCTGGAGTGGGGCAGAGCCAGGCCCTGGAGGAAGGTGAGAAAGAAGAGAAGATCCCAGTGCTCACTTTGCCTTTCCAGATCTTGCTGGGTCTGGTCCCTGCCCTCTCCTCCCTCCACTTCAACCACACAGGCTTCCTCCACTTTTCTGCTCCTAACCTACCCTCCCTGCCTGGGGCCTTTGCACTAGCTTTTCCCTTTGACTGGAATGCTGTTCCCCAGATCTTCACAAGGTGGCTTCTTCACCTTCTTCAGGTCTTGACTCAGAGGTCACCTCCTGAAGACCTTCTTGGCCACCCTGGTAAAATAGCCAGAGTAGTAGTAATCTTTCCCCTATTGACTCACGATTGTGATCACCATTTATAGTGACCATGTGTATTTCTTCACCATGTCTCCCACTGGAGGTCAGTTCCAGTCAGGTGGAGGCCTTGCTGTCCTGGTAACCATAGGGTTTCCAATAGCAGAGTTTTTTGAAAATAGATCACCAGGCCTTTCTTTCATGGTGCCTTTGGGTGGGTTTGAACTCCCTACTTTGTAGTTGGCAGGTGAGTGTGTTAGGCTTTTTTTTTTTTTTTTTTTTTAAGTGTATTTAACGTTTACCACCCAGAGACTCCTGATCACTGCAGTAGGTCCTCAGTAAATCTTGTAGAAGGAATGAAGGACTGTCCTCATGGCCCTGGTTTTGAATCCTTCCTCCTAGCCTCCCAGGCTGAGTCTTTGAACCCCAAGACCCCTTCACAGTGAGAAAGAAAGAAGAGTGGCCTCTGATGTCAGGGACTGATCTGACACCCACAGCCAGACCACTGTGTTCTCCTGATGCACGTGAACCTTAGAGAATGCCAACCTCAGGCAAGGTCACCCTGTGACCAGGATAAAGTGAGAAAAAGCAAGCCCACTCCATAATTTGTCTACGCAGAGACATGAACAAAGTCCCTGTGCCACCCGTAAAGGAGCAAAATCCCAATCTCTGCTAAATGAGTGACTGCTGTGTATTTACTCAGTTGTAAGATTGATTACCCCCGCTGTCCAGCAGCCTCCAATCCAGAGCAAACTCCCACTTCCTTAGACCCTCCCTCAAAGCACCCAACCAAAGCCTAAATAAGGAGCCCTGGTGGTACAATGAAGGACTCTGGTGGCATAGTGGGTAAGGCATGTGCCTCCTAACCAGAAGGTCAGTGGTTCAAACCCACCAGCTTCTCTGTGGGAGGAAGATGAGGCAATCTACTTCCATAAAGATTTATAACCTTGGAAACCCAGTAGGGATCTCTATGGGTTAAAATCGACTCAATAGCAGTGTATTTGGTTTTTCTTTTTTTTTTGGTAGGGCAGTAGTTAAGCACTTGGCTGCTAACTGGTGCCAGTTTGCACCCACCCAGTGGCTCCACTGACAAAGACCTGGAGACCTGCTTCTGTAAAGATTACAGCCATAAAACCCTATGGGACAGTTCTTCTACTTTGTCACCTGGGGTTACTATGAGTTGAAAATCGACTTGACGGCACCTAATAACAAAGCCCAGATCCTATCCTGGGTTCTTTCTAACACCCTTTTACTGAGACACTCCACAACTCCCTGTGGTGAATATCTCCCTTGCTGCAATGAGCGATAAACCCAACTGGTCTACCCTAGTGTGTTCCTAGTCATTGCTAACTGGAGGGCGATGAGACTTGTGTTTTTCTGGACACTCAAATCCAGATTTCTTCTGATATGTGACCTTGAACTAGTCATTTTCCTTTTAGGACCTAAATTACTTTATTTCTACAGTGAGGCCAATAGCCCAGCGCCCTATGGTGATATGAGCGATAGAAGGCTTTATTCACTCTGAAGTGCCCCAGTGTGCATCCAGTGGGCTTGGCTTTCATTGTGGGCCTCATTTACAGATGAGGACACTGTGGCCAGAGGGGAAGACCCAGCTGGGAAGTGTCAGAGCTAGGGCTGCAACTTGAGATTGATGTAAGCCCAGCATCCTGGCATTTATCTCCCTGTCTTAGTTCTCTAATTCTCTTGCTGTAACAGAAATATCACAAGTGGATGGCTTTAAGAAACAGAAATTTACTGTCTTACAGTTTAAGAGGCCAGACGTCCAAAATCAAAATGCTGGGTCTAGGCTAGGAGTCAGAGTTCACAGTGCCGGCTTTAGGCACTGGATGGAGCCCCCTTGACCTTGGGCTTCAGCTCTGCCTTCCAGGCCCACTAGACCCCCTGTTATCCTACCTCTCTGACCCCTGGACATGTTAAGGGAGTGGTGAGTGGTTACTAGTGGTGAGTGGTTACTAGGTTACTAGTGGTTACAATCCTAGGCTCAGGATTGAACAGGGTCCCTGGAGCAAGGAATTCTTAAAACTCAGCACCCTGGACTGGTGGACCATGAGAACCTCAGCCTATATATGACCATGAGACCAGAAGAACTAGATGGTGCCTGGCTATTACTGTCAACCACTCAGAAAGGGATCAGTGCAGCAGATCATGGGTAGAATGGGAGAACAATGTAGAACAAAACTCAAAATCATAAGAAAGAGCAGGTTTACTGATCTCATAGAGCCTGGTGAGACCCCTGAGACTATGGCCTCTAGTTACCCTTCGGGTCTGGAACTGAACTCACTCCTGTGGCTTCCAGCCAAACAAAAGACAAGCATATGGGGTAAACATTTACATCAGGTAGATATACTCCTTAGAATGATCTATCATGGAAGAACAGAAGGGCAGTATTTTGCATAGGGAGCAATATCTCTACAGAAATAGACTGCCCAAACTTCCTTTCGAGGAGTGGCTGGTGGGTTTGAACCTCCAGCCTTCTGGTTAGCAGTCAGATGCCTTAGGTGCTACACCACCAGAGCTCCCTGAAAGGACACAGAGAAGAAAGAGGTAACTACAGAGAGGAAGTGGGAAGAGAGCCGTTACATTGTGGGGAATTGCAGTTAATGTCATGAAACAAAATGTATATGAACTGCTGTAAGGAAAATGAATTTGCTCCATAAACTTCCACTCAAATCACAATAAAAAATAATAATAATAAAAAACTTAGTACCCTGGAATCAGTGAAGCCCTAACTAAGCCAGCCTCCCTGTGGCTGAAGACTGAGCCCGGGACAGTCTTCCAAGTTCGTGGTCCACACCTTGGATGGCTTGTCCACCTGGAGTTCGGCTCTTTATACCAAGGGAGTCTCAGCAGTTCAGCTGAGAGAAAGAAGTTACTTGGTCTTTTTGGGATAAAGGCTCCACTGAGGGGAGAATAATAAAAGTAGCGGGAAAATGAATAATCCTCCACATGTGCAAAACATTCAAAACATTGTTTTGTATATGAATTTAAACCTCAGACAACCCTGTGAGATTGATATGATTATTCTCAATTAATAAATGCAGAAACAGGCTCAAAAAAGGCAAATCACATGCCCAAGGACACACAGTGGGAGGACTTGAAACTTGGGTTTTAGATTTCAGGCTTCTGGGCCCACCTCTGGGGCCCTTCTGGAGGTAAAGGGGCTGAGGTCTGAGTGGTGGCGGCTGCTGCTAACCTGTCTGCCTCTGTTCCCTTCTTTGTACCCCAGGCTGCGGTGGCAGCATGTCTCCTCCTTGAAGGTGTCCAACGAGCCCGTCTTGGCATTTACGCAGGGCAGCCCTGAGCGAGAAGCACTGCAAAAGGTAATGGGGGACAGGGAGTGGGGGAACACCCAGCAAGTGCAGGGCACAGCCCAAGCAGCCCCCAAGTCTGCTCCGTGTTTGCATCATAACCCCTTCTGGCCCTGCTCCCTGCCTTCAGGAAGAAGCCTGGAGTCAGGGAGAGCTGTGGGTCTGCAGGATGGGGAGAGCGGGAGCGGCAGGGGTGTAGCCTGGGGCCACTTCAGGACGGTTCAGCCCAGGTCAGGGTCGCAAGTCTACAGATGTTCTAGGCTTAAAAACATTTTCAAATTAACCGCTAGTATTTTATTTTATGTTTTGTAAAACTATAGATAACACTACATTTGGCAACTCAACATTTTCCGTGTATAGAATTCAGTGAGATTAATTATATCCATCGTGTGGTGTAACTATCACCATTAATGCCAGTATTTTAATCACTCAGGTGATTACACATAAAATTCAGATGCACTTGTTTTATATATTCTTGTAATGGGAAGGCCTGGTGACACTTCCTGGCTGGTGACAGTGGAGCTGAGTGGTACTGCCCTCCAAATGGAGGGCACACTCGTTGACCACAGATCCAGCTTGTCCCCCTTCTCATCAGCAGCCCTGCCTGGCACCTGTGTATCAGACTCTGCATCAGAGTTTTAGGTGGGGACAAGAGGCGACCCATCTGTGTTCTTACCCTTCTCCCCAGGCCTTGAAAGACCTTAAGGGCCAGACAGAAGCCATCCCATGCGTGGTGGGGGATGAGGAGGTGTGGACCTCGGATGTGCGGTACCAGGTGTCGGTGAGTCTGGTGGGTGGGCAGGACTGGGCCTTTGTCCTCTGAAGCTGGGGTTTCCCTCCCTGACACATGTAAGCATAGAACGTGTGGCCTCTGCCTTCAAGAGCCTCATAATCCATTCTCAGATTTTTATTTCCATGGACCAGCTAAACTTCAAAAAGCAATCTTGGGGGACTGTCGTAAAGTTGCCAACTTCAGACCCTGCCAAGAGGAAGTTAAAAATAATTGCTCCCAGCTTTGCCATCTTTTTAGAATAATTTGACACACTGAGCATAGGAAGGAAAGACAGAATATCAGAATAAAAGATAGTCCTTCCTGTAAAAATAGCGTGGCATTTTTCAGGGGAAGAGAAAGAATCAGCATCAGCCCAAAAGCTGATTCCTATGAGGTGGAGGTCAGCCATACCTCCTCTCCAACCTTCTTACCAATTCTGACACCAGCCATCCCCGCCAGTGACACACACTATGTCTATAGGGATTTGATAATTCACTGCAGTGGCTACACAGGACTCACAGACTACTCATGGAGTTTATTAGGGAACTAACAGGTTGTAATTTACAATTAGGATCAACTTGGAAGTAAGGAACAACTCAGGATATAGTTCTTAATCAAGAGAGCTTCTTGTTGGCTATACCTGCAGAGGCCTATGCTGCTGGGCCCTGCCTGGGCCTTGCCTCTGCCCTAGTTGGGCAGGTAGCCTCCTTCCCAGAGGCACTCAGCGCGCTCGCTCCGCGAATTGGCAAGCCCACTGTAGCTGCCTTGCGTCATGGGTCGGGAAGACCACATGCCATCTTGCCCTAGTCTCCTGGTTCTGCTCCACCATTTCTCTGCCACTGGACTCAGCTGTGCTTGCTACCACTTCTCACCATCTCGTGCTTTGTGTTGTCTCCAGGGTTCTAGCTCTGTCTGTCTCGTGGGTCTAGGAGGTTCTCAGCACAGGGACCCTTGATCCAAAGGATATGCTCTGCTCCCAGCTTTTGATAGTAATGAAGTCTCCCTTCAACTTCTGAGATTGGCTCCTTTTAAGCCTAGTGAGATGGCAAAACTAAGCCTCCACAAGGGTTCCATGCACCTTATTTACGTAGTCCCACTCTGCAAGAAGGGAGCTCTGGTGGTATAGTGCCTAAGGCATTTGACTGCTAATCAGAAGGCTGGCAGTTCAAATCTACCAGCCATTCCTCAGAAGGAAGATTGAGCAATCTACTTGTGTAGAGATACTGCCTTGGAAACCCAAGGAGAGATTGCTGTGAGTCTAATCGATTCAACGGCAGTGAGTTTGGTTTTTGGTTTACCCTGCAAGAATTCCTTGTACCTTATTTGTATTAGCAGACTGTCCGATCCCCCACAAGGGTTCCACTTACCTTATTTGCATAGTGCCACCCAGTCATTTTGTGGGAGTTATAAGATTATGGCTAGAGGGACTACATAATAGCAATTCATTGTACTGCACTTCCAAAGAAGGGACAGTCACTGGAGCCCTGGTCTGTATTTGGAGACCATGGTTAAGTGCTTGGCTGCTAAATGAAAGTTTGGCAGTTTGGATCTACCTGGAAGCACCTTGGAAGAAACCTGGCAGTCTATTTCTGAGAGATCCTAGCCATTGAAAGCCCTATAGAGCGCAGTTCTGCTCAAACACATGGAGTCACCATGAGTCAAAATCAACTTTATGGTAACTTTTTTGGTTTTCTTTTTGTGATCTGACAATGAGCTTATTCTGAAGTAAGCACCAAGGGCATATCCAAGGGCCACTTCTTCCTACAAACCTTCCTGCTGGATTGGTGTGCCCTCTAGGACCCCCAGCAAGCCCCTTCACGAGGCCCTTCCCATCTGCACATGACTCTTTCTTTCATCCCTGCCATGTCCCTTTGAGGTGGGATGAGCATGGAGTTGGCTGCCCATTTTGCAGATCAGGGAACATGTTCAGAGATGTGAAATGAGCTCAGGATGGACAGATGGGAACCCACTGCCATCAGGCTGATTCCAACTCTGAGCAGCCCTATAGGACAGAGTGGAACTGCCCCATATGGTTTCCAAGGCAATAATCTTTATGGCTGAAGACTGCTACATCTTTCTTCCATGGACGAAACTTAACCACCAAACACTTAAGACTCTTGGAAAGATGTGAAGGAGGGGTGAAAACCAGGTTCTCCAGAACCCAATCCCATTTATTTTTATTCAAATTAATTCATTTATACCCTGACCACTTCCAAAAAGGACCTAAAAGTAGCCTATTCATTTGCATACATGCAGCAAGGTAATCTTTTGAAATGGGTGAAAAGGAAGTAGACAAGAGGGAACAGGGAAGGACCTGCAGAGGATGGGGGTAGGAGGAGGCTGATGACAAACCGAGGAGCTTGGAGTCCTAGGTGCTTGCTGGAGGTGGCCATAGACTTCACTTCAGTTTGCTAGTGGCCACATCATGTGCACTATTCAGTGTTTTTTTAGTAAAGTCCACCTGTTTGGTAGGGGAACCACAGCCATTCCCCATATGGCACCTAGAGAGAAATTTGTTCCAAGGGCATCATGAGAACATGGCAGTGCACCAGACTGTCTCCTCACGAGTCTTCCTGTTGATGCTCAAATGCTTCAGGGGCTGTTTCTTGTGCACCACCCCTTGGTGTATGCCAAGGCCGTCACTAAACTCGAGTCCTAGGGGTGCCAAGGAGCTATCCTTCAAGGCCCTGGCTTCTGCTCCTGGGGTGGGTTTCCCATCATCTGGAGCTGAGCTTGCAAAGTGATAGCTTGAAGCTTTGTTTCACCTGCCTAGTATTTCTAAAACCTAAAAATTGGGAGACTTCGCATAAAAAAATCCAAATGTCCTGCTTCTCTCAGAAGTGAGAAGGTGTAGTCACATGAGGTTGGCATTCCTGCAGGCCGTCACATGTTAAATGGAACAGCTGGGCCCTCTCCAGTGGACCCCAAGCCTCACCACTGCCTCTTGCATGTGCCCAGCCCTGTCACTCATTCACATTGGCTGCCTGGCCCTTGCAGGCATCTGTGTATGCAGCCCCGATCCAGAGAAATAGCTGGTCCGCCATGTCCTCCAGGCATCTCCCTAAATGTCTCAGCAGAGGATTTGCTAGATATGGGACAGGAGTAAAACAGCCTGCCTTGAAGGAGGGCGGGAAGCTGTTGTGCGTTGACAAAAGTGTCACACACCCATGTGCCCCAGCAGTTTTCCAGTCTGAGAGTGGGAGTGACATCCTCTTGTGACTGTTGGGGATCTTCCTGATTCATGGCTGAATGGATGGCCATGGCATCTCTCCACAGGGTGGCCTGAGGGTGAACATGTGGGTCTTCTCCAGCCTCAAGCAGGGGACACACTCCATCCCTTTTATTCCTCATCATGGCGATAATAATTTTATCCCAGAAAAGTTTACAGCAAATACCCACCTTGGCTGTGAACAAAACGAGAACTATATATGCACACACACAGACACACGGAGGAATGGGAGGAGTGGGGGTTGTTGTGTGATTGGTTGATTCTAACTGTATGATCTGTGCCAGGCCATGTGAATAAGGTAGCCTGCTCTGTGTCATTATTTGCTAGACACCTGTTTAAAGTTGGAAGACAGTTGCCAAAAGGGTGACTTTAACTTTGCTTTTTGGCAGGGTCACAGTGGTTAAAGCCATTGGCTGTTAACCAGAAGGCTGGTGGTTCAAACCCACCTAGTAGCACCACAGAAGAAAGGCCTGGTGACCTGCTTCTGTAAAGATTACAGCCAGGCAAACCCTATGGAGCAGTTCTCCTGTAACACATGGGGCATGAGTCGGAATTGGCTTGATGGCAACAGGTTTGGCTTCTGGCTGGGTTGGTGGTCTGTCGTTAAGGATACTTTTTAACAATGGTAATAAAACCCTGTCCACTCGATCATTCAACAAACCTTTGCCGAGCACCTGGACACCAGCAGGATGCTGGGACATAGTATTGAATAAGGCAGACAGGGGTTTCCCTCACAGAAGATGAACCAGCCCTCAGTTATGGGCCATGGGAAAAGCCGATGTCACCCATCAGGCAGAGGGAAGGGCACGTGAAGAATCCCAGAGGTGGGGAGAGGCTCGTTGTCCGGCAAAATAGAAAGGAAGCTGGTGGGACTGGAGTGGAGTCATGGGAGTGCAGAGATGGCCAGTGATGACTTCCTTGGTTCTTGTCAGCTGAAGCATCCTGCAGGTCGTGCTGCTAGTTCAGCAACCGGAAGGCTCAGCGCCTGGAGCCACTGGAACACAGCCTGGGGTCTGCAAGCCTCAGGCCAGGTCACTTGGCTCCTCAGGTCGGTGTGAGGTGTGTGCCTAGGTGTTGGCTGAGAACTGCCTTCCCATGACCTTGCTCACCAGGATCACAGCTCTGCCTAGAACTTTCCTTGCCTGCAGATTTCCAGGCCTCCTGTAGCCATTGTCAGCACCTGGGGTTTTCTGAGGCAGTGAGTCCTTGGTATTTTGTTACCCACTGGTGAGAGTGTGGGAACTGGGCCCTTCTGGTTTTCATTTCCCATGTTGTCTCACAGACCTGGCTGGAGGTTATAGCTGCAGAGTCAGTCTTGTAGAGCTGGGCATTTGGGGAGGGTGGGGTCTGTATTTGCTGGTGGTACAAATGGTTTGTGCTTACCTCAAAAAAAAACAAACCAAACTCAGTACCATCGAGTTGATTCTGACTCATAGCAACCTCATTTGGGTTTCTGAGGCTGTAAGTCTTTACGGAAATAGGTTGCCCAGTTTTTCTAAGGCAGGGTGGCTGGTGGGTTTGAACCACCAACCTTTTGGTGAGCAGTCAAATGTCTTAGCACTGTGGTTCACACCCATCCAGTGGCGCCACAGAAGAAAGCCTTGACAATCTGCTTCTGTAAAAGTTAGAGCCAGGAAAACCCAGTGGAGCAGTTCTACTCTGTAACACGTGGGATCACCATGAGTCAGAATGGACTCAACAGCAGTGGGTTTAGTTGTTCGGTTTCATGTTGCAGATTTGGGTTTGCCTGGAATCTATTAGGAAACGCTGCAATTGAAGCCCCCCGGTCTGAGTCACCTTCTTGGCCCTTAAGCATTGCAGACCAGTCTCAGATGTGGACAGGATCTAGGTAACTGTGGCAAGGGTTAAAATGAAGGGGAAAGGGCCATTTTTTAGTCAGATCTAGATTGGCACTGCCCAGTAGCACTTGCTGCAGTGATAATAGTGGAAATGTTCTTTGCATTATCAGCACAGTAGCTACTAGCCACGTGTGGTTAGTGAGCCCTTGACCCATAGCTAGTTGGATGAGGAACTAAATTTAAATTTCAGTAGCCACAGTGACTAGTGGCTACCATATTGGGCAGCCCAGGTTTAAATAATCCCATTGGAAGACTGTTGTGTTGTTAGGTGCCATCCAGTTGATGTTTGACTCATAGTGACCTACTGTGACAGAGTAGAACTGCCCCATAGGGTTTCCCAGCCTGGGAGCTCTGGTAGCGTAGTGCCTAAGGCACTTGACTGCTAACCAGAAGGCTGGCAGTTCAAACCCACCAGCCATACTCCTTAGAAGGAAGGTTGGGCAATCTACTTCCGTAGTGGTACCACCTCAGAAACCCAAGGAGGGGTCGCTATGAGTCAGGTCTGACTCAACAGCACATAACAACAACAACAACAACAATCTTTACAGGAGTAAATGGCCAGGTCTTTTCTCCTGCAGAGCCACTAGATAGGTTTGTACCTCTGACCTTTTGGTTAGCAGCCGAATGTTTAACCATTATGCCACCAGTGCTCCTGATTGAAAGCCTGAGTGGCAAATGTGTTGATATACCCACTGCCATCCAGTCGATTCCAACTCATAGTGACCCCATAGGACAGAGTAGAACTGCCCTGTAGGATTTCCAAGACTAAATTTTTGCAGAGGCTGACTGCCACATCTTTCTCCCATGGAGCAGCTGATAAGTTCAAACTGCCTTTTGGTTAGCAGCCCAGTGCTTTAACCACAGCACCACTAGAGCTTCATAACTCACTGTCACCGAGTTGATTCTGACTCAGAAACCTCCATTAGGTCTCTAAGACTGTAAATCTTTTCAAAAACAGACTGTCCCATCTTTCTTCTGCAGAGTGGCTTGTGGCTTCAAGCTGCTGACCTTTTGGTTAACCACTATACCACCAGAGCTTTCCAGAGCTCCTAAGTGTTGCCATATCCAGTATAAACTGTAATGCCAGTCCTGAGTAGGGGTGGAAGTGCAACTTCTTCCCGCCGGGTTGCTCTGTTAGCGTTTGGCACTGCCAGGTTCTGCTTGTGTTTGTTGAGGATCTCCCGATCACATGAATAGATCTGGGTCTCCTTCTAGCAGCTCAAGAAATAATTGCCCTGTTCCCCCCACGACTTTGGAGGATGGCAGGAGTTGTGAGCATTTCATGACACTGGCATACTTTGGTGGGGGGCAGAAACTGCCTTGTGTTTTCATAACCTCAGGAAGTTATCAACTCTGTGTGAAGAGACTTTCTACATACTCACCAGAGCTGATTTGGAAGGATTTTCCCCCATGAGCCCATCTGATCCTCATCCCTCTCCATGCTTTAGGTGGGGATGCACTCCCCATCTTCCAGATGAGTAAGTTTAATAAGGGGAGGTCAGTGGTGCAAGGCTCCACAGCTAGTATGGCAGAGCTGGGATTTGAACCTATGTCTTTCTGGCCACAGAATGCAGGCTTTTCCTGAACAACTGTGTGGCCCATGTCCTCCTCTGGACTGAACTCTTCTGGTGCCTTGAAAGAGGATGTGACTGTTGGAGACAGATGACTTGGAGTTCTGCCCTAGAGAGGGAGGAGCCCATGCAGGGAGTGACTGGAGAAGGCCTCCTGGGGAAGGAGGTAGGCCATGAACCAGCAGAGATGAGAGGGAAGAGAGAGTGTGTCAAAGAAATCTTGCCAAGAAAATGGGCTCTGAGCAGCCATCCAACATATACTTGTCTCTGCATCTGGAGCACTGGAGAAGAAGTTAGCCCAAGAATCGGAGAAGCACCTGAACTACAGGCCCAATGGCCTCCATGAACCGCTGTGTCCTCTAACATGAGACCAGAAGAACTGGCCAGTGCCTGGCAACCATTGCCCAACAGTTCAGTTATGGATCCTGATGAACCTGCTGCCACTGAGTCAATTCCAACTCATAGCGATCCTGTAGGACAGAGCAGAACTTCCCCATAGGGTTTCTAAGGATGTCATCTTTACAGAAGCAGACTGTCACATCTTTCCCCTCCATGGAGCCTTTGGTAGGTTTGAGCTGCCAAACTTTTGGTTAGCAGATGAGTGCTTTAACTGCTATGCCACCAGGGCTCCTAATTGGATCTTGACAGAAGGGGAAAAATGTGGAATTTCACAGTCCCAATGAATCCAGACTGATTGGATCCATTGAGGCTGGGGGGACCCCTGAGACTATGTCCTGGGATACTCTCCAAACCTTGTAACTGTCCCTAGAAGTCATCTGTAAACCACAACAAAAAGGCATTTAGCTTAAAAAAGAATGTCACCCTTAAGTAATGTGCCTTAAAAACCAAAAATGATTTGAGGCCAAAGGGACAACAGTAACTAAAGCCTAGACAAGAAGTTGAGGGGCAGCGAGTCTAAATTAATGGGGGTAAAAAGCTAGAGCAGAAACACCGAGAATGTTGACACACTGTGAAGAATGTAGTGTCACTGAATAATATGTGTAGAAATTATTAAATGGAAGCATGTTTTGATGTGTGTATTTTCACCAAAAACAAAAGCACATTTTTAAAAAAAAATGAACTGCGTGCCCAGCCCTCCCCTGGCTCCCTGCTTCTGGAGCAGTGACCCCACTTGTCTCTTTTCTTTCAGCCCTTTAACCATGGACACAAGGTGGCCAAGTTCTGTTATGCAGACAAGGTGAGTGCCTGGCAGCATTTGGTTGCTGCTCCTGCCCTGCCCTGCCCTGCCCTGCCCGCTGCTGACGTGAGGGTGGGCATGGAGGTGGACCTCAGTTGCTACTTCCCTATCTGGCCACGGGTAGGGTATGGAGTAGGGCTAGCACTGAGAGGGCCATTGTTTGCGTGAGTGATTTAAACAGGACCAGGCATGCAAGGGCTAAATTGAGCCAAGTGAGAGCTGCCTTGGCCAGGCCTGGGGCATACCTGACATGCCCAGAGCAGTAGGGCAGACCCTGGTTTGGAGATGAGGGTTGATTCTGGGAGGCTCAGTGAGGGAAATTAATAATGGATGGAAAGCCAGGCAGGGAATTGGCATCAGGGAGGCTGGTGAGCAGGGACAGGGTGACCTGTGGCAGGGGATCTGGGGGTTGGTTTGTATGATACCTGGGATGCCAGCAGCAGAGGTGTGTCTCAGGCTGGGGTTTTACGCTGGCCAGAGCAAGGGAAAGTCCCAACCTTGGGGGCTGGAGGCTCTGCACGGTAGGCAGTTCAGGGGCACAGAGTTTCAGGAATAAGGTGAATCCTGATTAGACTTTGTGAAGAAGCTGGAGCATGTTTAACAGCTGAGGGCTAGGGGCCAACTCCTTGGCATGCTGGCTGCCCTGGCAGGTCACTCAGACTTCTCTAAACTGGACACAGGACAGTCATTGAGCCTGGGGTGACCCAGCTGGATGTGGGGCACAGTGTCTGCCGCTGTGGGGACGAGGATTGAGGGCTGAGGGAGCCAGGGGTCTTCCCTGGATAGAGAGTGGCCTCCTGGATGTCTCCCCCTTGCTGACTTCTCAGGGACTCTCTTAGCAGCAGGGAGGAAGCCTCTAACCTTGTCCTCTCTCACTTAGGCCCTGCTCAACAAAGCCATTGAGGCCGCCCTGGTTGCCAGGAAAGAGTGGGACCTGAAGCCTGTTGCCGACCGGGCCCAGATCTTCCTGAAAGCAGCAGATTTGCTGAGTGGGCCCCACAGGGCTGAGATCCTCGCCAAGACCATGGTGGGACAGGTGAGGTACATTATGGGCAAAGCCAGGGTGAGGGAGATGGGCATGCCCCATTCACTTCAACCCACATCAGCCAAACAGCTTCGGGGTACCAAGCTCAGCTCTGTGTGCCAGACACCCAGAGATGTCCTCAAGGGACAAGGTCTATGAGAGGGGACAGGCACACACACTGAGAAAAGGTGGGGAGTGTTCTGGGCCTGCATGTCCTGCCCTGGAAATATCCCTGCCCTGCCTTCTCTGCTGTCCCTGTCTAAGACCAGGCCCTCGTTATGCTTAGCCTGCACTATGGCCATTGGACCGTGTAGTCCTCCTGTCGCCAGGACTGGGCAGAGCCCTGCAGCCCTGCCCATGGTCTTTCTCACACCTCCAGCAAGTCTCTCTGTCATGCACAATCAAGTCCCAAGCCCTAGAAAGACCCTTCATTTCTGACCTCTGTCCAGCCCTTCCCTGCCAGTTTGGATTTAACAAGACTCCCTGGACACACTGGTGTCCTTAGCCCCCTGCCTTTTCTCACAGTGTCGCCTGCCTGGGTGAGTCACTCCGCCCTAAGGTCAAGCCCAGAAAATCACCTGCTTCATGAACTTCCTGAACCTTCTTGGGCCTAAAGGATCACTCCTTCTCCCATAGTACGTTGTTCGTTCATCAGTTACAGCACAGATCATGTGGAAGGATGAGGAACCCTAGTGGTGTGATAGGAGCTCTGGTGGCATAATACCTAAGGCATTTGACTGCTAACCAGAAGGCTGGCAGTTCAAACCCACCCACACCCTGGAAGGAAGGTTGGGCAATCTACTTCCATAGTGATATCGCCTCAGAAACCCAAGGAGGGGTTGCTATGAGTCAGATCCAACTCGACGGCAGTGAGTTTGGTTTTGGTTTTTGGAGTGGTGCAGTGGTTTAAGTGCTTGGCTGCTACCCAAAGACTGGCAGTTAGAACACCCAGTGGCTCTGCTGGAGAAGTGGCCTGATGACCTGCTCCTGTAAAGATTATAGCCTGGGAAACCCAATGGAGCAGTTCTCTATCCTATAGGGTCACTATGAGTCAGCATTGACTTGACGGCACCTGACAACAACAAGGTATTTATTGTTCCTTTATGAGCTTTTCAGGGACAGTAATCATGGATTAGAGCTCCTGGGTGGTACAAATGGTTAAGTGTGCAACTTTTAATCAAAAGTTGGGTGAGGCAAACCAAAGGTCCCTCAGAAGAAAGGTCTGGTGATCTGCTTCTGAAAGGTCACGGCTGCCCAAAACCCTGTGGAGCCCAGTTCTACTGTGAAACATGGAGTTGCCATGAGTGGAATCAGCTTAATGGCAACGGGTGGTGGTGCTGGTGAAATCATGGCTCAGTGAGGTGGTGCAGTGGTGCAGTGGTAGAACTCTCGACTTCCATGTGGAAGACCTGGGTTTGATTCCCAGCCAGTGCACTTCATGAGCAGCCACCACTCAACCTGTTAGTAGAGGCTTGCGTGTTGCTATGATGCTTAAACAGTCTTCCATGGAGTTTCTAGGCTAAGACAGACTAGGAAGAAAGGCCAGGTGATCTATTTGCAAAATAAGCAGCCAGTAAAAATCCTGTGGATCACTGTGATCTGATCCACAGCTGATCATGGGCGTGGTGTGGGACTAGTCAGGGTTTCATTTCCTTGTGCATTTCCTTAATGAGGTTGCCATGGGGCAGGGGCCAACTTGATGGCGGCAGCTAACAGCAACAGCAGTCATGGCTTAGTGTTCTCAGTCTTTTTCTGGGCCTCATGTAATGTGTTTATGGAGTTGCAGAATGGAGCTTGATAAATGTGTTTAGAGTAGATGCACGTTGAATGAGGCACAGCACTAGGAGCCCAGAATGTACTGGGCAAAGGGGCTGGGGGAGAAGCTGACTTCACCATCCTAGGACCTGAGCCTGATGGTGTAAGCCAGCCTGGGTTTGTGAAGGGCAAGTTATGGAAGCCAGGACCCAGGCTCCCATTTAGGTCAGCCCACTTGTACCGTCCTGCTCAGCCATCCCTGTAGGGAGAGCCCCCTGCTGCACAGAGGTGGTATAACAGCTCCATACCCTCATTCCAATCTAGCCCTGGGCTCCAGTATCTCCTTTGATTCCCTCAGCAACCCTCTAGGTTGGGTATCCAGCTCTGGAATGTTGTGAGTAAGTCACATATGGCAGGAAGAGATACACTCATACACACACTCTAAGATCAGATTAAGCTTTATTTAGCTAAAGGAGCCCTGGTGGCATAGTGGTTAAAGTGCTTGGCTGCTTATCAGAAGGTCAGTGGTTTGAACCCACCAGCTGCTCTGCGGGAGAAAGATATGACAGTCTGTTCCGTAAAGATTTACAGTCTTGGAAACCCTATAGGGCAGTTCCACTCTGTCCTGCAGGGTTGCTATAAGTTGGAATTGGGTTTTTTCTTTCCTTTTTTTTTTTTTTTTTGGCTAAAGATAGAAGTTTGTAGGAAGCTCAGTGGCCACACAGCCAGGTGTAGCACAGCTGAGGTCAACTTTTCTGGCCCATGTCCCCAGTGTCTGCCAAGGAGGACCTCATCCCAACCCAGAAGAGCCCATTCCTGCTGCCTAGATGCCTTGTCCTGGGCTCACATTTGCTGCCATGGGGAACAGATAGCCTAAGGGAATATTGACTGTCTTGTGGCCTCCTGGTTCTTGGCCCAGGCTCCCTTAGTGAGGCCACATACTCATCCCAGGGGAGAGAGCAACCAGTGTCCTGATAACAATGTCTCTGCCTGCCCTGGTCTTCCAGTGCCCCGAAATCCCTGCCCAACCCAGCCTAGCTGTCCCCATGCATGCTGATATGCCCCTTTGACTGGATGTTCTGATCCAGACTTTAGTCTGAGGATCCTGATCATTGATGCATTGCCCTGTACCACCTTTCAGAGTTACTGTGAGGACTCAGACTTTGTGGGGAAGTGCCTGGTGCGTGGTCCATGGTGGTGGTGGTTGTTAATGACGAGAGTTGACTCTGACTCCCGGTGACCTTATGTACAACAGAATGAAATGTTGTGTGATCCTGCGCCATCTTTACAAACACCAGCACGTTCCAGCCCATCATGGTGGCTTTTGTGTCAATCCATCTCATCAAGGCTGGCCCTCTCTTTCAGTAAACGTGATTTCCTCCTCTAATGATTGATCCCTTCTGATGACGTGTCCAGAGCAAGCGAACCAGACACTGTTCTGTTGTGATCTATAAGATTTTCATTAGCAAACTTTTTGGAAGTAGATTGCCAGGCCTTTCTTCCTAGTCTACCTTAGTGTGGAAACTCCTCTGAAACTTGTCTACCCTGGGTGACCCTGCTGATATTTGAAGTAACAGTGGCAAAGCTTCCAGTATCATTGCAACATGCAAGCCACCACAGTGCAGCACATTGACAGATGGGTGGTGGCAGGCTGTGGTAGGTGATCAGTAAATGCTCCTTACACCCATCCAGGCCCTGAGGGTCATTCTGCCCATAAAGTGAAGTGGTGGTGCAGCTCAAGAGTCAGGTCTCCTGAGACAGGCCCTGGTCAGCCCTCTAAATGCTGACCAGCCCCTGCGATGGCCAGGCGTGATGCCTTCTGTGGGCCCAGGGTTCAATGTCAGAAGAGGGCTAGCAGCAGCCACACACCGTTAACACTGGTTCAGGTTTCCACATCCTCTCTGACTCCCTTGCCGGCTCCCTCCACAGGGCAAGACAGTGATCCAGGCAGAGATTGATGCTGCGGCGGAGCTCATCGACTTCTTCCGCTTCAATGCCAAGTTCGCTGTGGAGCTGGAGGGCACGCAGCCCATCAGTGTGCCGCCTAGCACCAACAGTGTGGCGTACCGGGGGCTGGAGGTATCTGCACGGATAGGGACAAGGGAGGGGCTGCCAGACACCTGAAGCTCCAACCTCACCACCGCCTCTGTCCCCAGGGCTTCGTGGCAGCCATCTCCCCCTTCAACTTCACTGCAATCGGTGGCAACCTGGCAGGGGCTCCAGCCCTGATGGTGAGCTGGTGGGCTGTGGTTGGGTAGGAAGCTTGCGGTCATCCTAGGCTTGGCAGGCAGGGCCACAGGTCTCAGCCTCAGGTTGTGGGGACAAGCATAGAAGGTGGAAACAGCTTGGGGCAGTGGAAGTGCTTTGGGCTTAAATCTCATCTAAGGTTGGATGATTCCAGGCAAGTCCCTGAACTTCTCTGAGGTACAATGTCCTCATCTGTAAAGTAGAAATAATGAGAAAGCTTACATTAGAGAGTTGGGAGGATTGAATGAGACAGTGTGTATGGCCTGTCTTAATACCAGTGTGGGCTTAGTGTGTGTGGGGATTGCAATTAAAGGTTGGCTGTTCCAAGAGAGGCCTAGCAGTCTGCTTCTGCGAGATCACAGCCAAGAAACCCTATGGAGCAGTTCTATTCCATCCCACATGGGGTTATCCTCAGTCAGAATGGACTCCATGGCAACAGCTTTGGTTTTGGTGTTAGTAACGAGGATCATTATAGCTCACCTTTGCGTGCTAGTGTATGGCTAGTGCTGGCCCTCATTTAATCCTCTCAACAGCTCTAAGAGGTGAGCACTGTGTTTATGCCTCTAGGTAGGGAAACTGAGTCACAGAGCAGTGGCTTTTTTGTCTAGGTCACACAGCTAATAGATGATGGGGCAGACAGGGATTCAGACTGAGGCTGTCTCAGGACCAGGGGCTTAAAGTCACTGGACTCCATTGCTGAGATCCAGGTGATGGTGGCCATTGTCCTTGAGCCCCCACTCTGGTGAGGGAGACCCAGCCCCTGACCATAGAAGGCCTTGGTGGCTTCCCACGGAATAGTGGGAGAAGGAGGCACAAAGGGCTCTGATGCTTGGGTGTGTGCAGATGTGCCTGCCCAGGACATCCCTGTGCACTGTGTACATACAGATGTTGGCACAGGCTTCTGGAAAAAGGGTGCCTTGGCCAGAGTGTGGAAGCAGACAGGGTGGGGTGTGACCTCAAGGACACAGGCTTGTGGGACACAGTGTTGGACACTTAGAGGAGTGAGGTCAGTTGAGGGGTGAGGGGTGGACATCCTGGCTGGTACAGGGGCCTATCACAGACAGGTACTTTTGGCCAGTCCTAGGGAGCTGAGGGCAGGTGGTGGTTTGAGGTGAGGGATAGCCATGGTTGGCGGTCAGTTGGCTGGTGCCCCCAGCCTTGTACATCATCATCACACCTCTCGGGCAGGGCAACGTGGTCCTGTGGAAGCCCAGTGACACTGCCATGCTGGCCAGCTATGCTGTCTACCGCATCCTCCGGAAGGCGGGTCTGCCCCCCAACATCATCCAGTTTGTGCCAGCAGATGGGCCCTTGTTCGGGGACACCATCACCAGCTCAGAGCACCTCTGTGGTATCAACTTCACTGGCAGTGTGCCGTAAGTGCTGGAATGTGGGAGGCACAGTGGCACTGGGGAAGGTCACTGGGTAACCACCTTGTTACCTGCTATTCAGGGACCTGGAGCTATGAACTCGTAGGTCAGCCACTGACTATTCCCCTGCCACCCACTGTGGCTGGGCGTGAGCGCTTCATACCTTTGAGCTTCTCTTTCTTCACCTGTATGATGAGGAGATGATCCTTACCTGGCAGAGTTAGTGTGAGGCTCAAACGAGTCCGTGAATAGGAAGGAGCTTTGGGGCCAGAAGTGCAGCCTACAGATATCTGGCAATACTGATTTTGGTGCTGCCTTGGCCATTAGAAGGGGCAGGAGGGAGCTTGGGATGAATTGGAAGAGGAGAGTAAGGAAGGCTTCTTGGAGGAGGTGACACCTAAGCTGAGAGTTGAAAGCAGGAGTTGGCCAGGCAAAGGGGAGAGGATGGCAGAAGCATGTACTAGGAGAGGGAATAGCCTATACCTGGGCAGAAGTGGGGAGCTCTGGTGGCGTAGTGCCTAAGGCATTTGACTGCTAATCAGAAGGCTGGGAGTTCAAACCCCTAGTCACTCCTTGGAAGGAAGATTGGACAATCTACTTCCGTAGTGATACTGCCTCGGAAACCCAAGAAGGGGTCGCTTAAGTCAGAACCAACTCGACAGCAGTGAGTTTGGTTTTTATTTTTTGGTTTAGGCAGCAGTGCATGTTGTACCCTGGGGATTGGAAACAGGCGTCTGTGGCTGGAGTGTGGAGCTCTGGAGCCAGAGGGTAGATGGTGTGGATGAGACATGGTTTGAGATGAGACAGGAAGCAAGCAGCTGCCCAATTGTGAGCATCTCTTGTTTATTCCCTCACTCAGCAGGTTATTTCTTTAGCTCCTGCTGTGTGATGGGCACTGCTCATAGACAAGGTCCCAGCTCTCAGGGGACGTAATCTAGTGACTGCAGAGGGTCTTTGTTACTGTTGTTAGATGCCATCAAGTTGATTCCAACTCATAGCAACTCCATGTGACAGAAAGAACTGCTCCATAGTGGTTCCTAAATTGTAATCTTTACGGAAGCAGATCATCAGGTTTTTCTGATCAGAGCCTCTTGCGGGGGTTTGAACCTCTAGCCTCTCAGTCACTGAACACTTAGCTGTTGGGCCACGAGGGCTTCTTGCAGAGGCTCTTATGGGTCTGCAAATGAGTCTGGACTTTATCCTAAAGGTGACAGGTGCCACTAAAGGTTTAAGCTGGGTAAGTGGCTTAATCAGATCTCCATGTCAAACAGAGCTTGCATATGGGGGCCCTCAAAATGGTCCCCGTAATAAGCTGAAATTTCTTTTAGCCTCTACTAGTTGGACTTTAGGAGCTCTGGTAGCATAGTGCCTAAGGCACTTGACTGCTAACCAGAAGGCACGTACTTCAAGCCCACCAGCCACTCCTTGGAAGAAAGGTTGGGCAATCTACTTCCGTAGCGATACTGCCTTGGCAACCCAAGGAGGGGTCGCTATGAGTCAAGTCCGACTCGATGGCACATAACAACAACAACAGTTGGACTTTATAAAATTAGGACAATTTCTTATACAATCCACATGCTGGCTTTTCTTGAGAAACTGGTCACCCTGCCCACCCTGCGCCTCCATTTGCATGTGGTACCATTGGCTGGAGAGGAGCAGGCAGGCTCTAGTTCCCCACTGTCCCCACCAGGGGCTGGGTTTCCAGATACCTGGTCACTTCCTTTCCCTGCCTGGCCCCCTACAGGCCCTGGTTCGCACCCTCTAATCTGATGACCTCTCTGGTGCCGTGTGGAGAATTCTCTAGTAGTCAGATAAAGAGATTTGTTGGGAGGCTGCCTGCATCGAGGGGAGGGACAACCCTGGCCTTGGTCCGGGTAGAGACAGTGAGAACAGAAAGAAGTGGGCTGATTGAAAGGAAATAGAAGGGAGACGTCGTCATGGGGATTGGCTGTCCATGGGGTGAGAGAGAGGCGGGGAGTGGGTGAAACGTTGGACTCTGGCATCAGTCCCTCACATGGGTGCCGGAAAGCAAGCAGGAATTATGAGTTGGTTACTCTGCATGTGAGGAGCCAGTGGTTATCAGGTGGAGATACCTGAAGGCAACTGAGTGTCCAGGTCTGAAACTTGAGGTTCTTTTAGGTCTCCCTGGAGCTTCTGGCTTTGCCCCCCGCCCCAAGGCTTGCTAGGCAGTGCTGGCAGCATTAAAATTGCTGAAAAATAAAAAACAAACAAACTCACTGCCATCAAGTCGGATCCAAATCATAGTGACCCCTCCTTGGGTTTCAGAGGTGGTATCGCTACGGAAGTAGATTGCCCAACCTTCCTTCTATGGAGTGGCTGGTGAGTTTGAACTGCCAGCCTTCTGGTTAGCAGTCAAATACCTTAGGCACTACACCACCAGAATTGCTGAGTAGGGTCGTTTTCCAAAAGACCCGCTCTGCTAGCTGTGGGCCCCACGGGGCCCTGCCGATTAGCGGGCGGCACCGGCCTGGCCCCCATTTGCCATGCTCTGATGAATGGCAGGCTTAAACATAGGAAAGTCATAAATTAGTATTAGCTACTGTGTCACTGGCTGCCAGGTGATTAGCATTTTTATTGTTTTGTGGTGCTGAGGTTGGTCACACTCAGAGCCCTGGGATGAGGTGCAGACCTCCAGGGTGACAGCTCCAGGGCGGGGGCCTGAGCTCCCTCTCTCAGGCCCCTCCTTGCTTTGGCTGCTTGAGCCCAGGAATTGGACTGCAGGTGCTCCTCCCACTGTAGGGACAGTTTGCCGTCAGGGACCCACAGGGTGTCCAGCCTGTCTGAGGTACTTTCTCCCAGTAGAACTAATCACATACGAGCCCTGCCAGGTGGGAATGGTTTCCTGTAGTTCCCATATGAGGAATTTGAGGCTCAGACCACACAGCCACGAATGAACCAGGACTCAGCCCTGCACCCTTTACCTTCCAAGCCTGGACATCGTCTCCTGCACTGTCTTGCTTCCCTTCTCTCCCTCCCGTTAGGATCAGAATGTAGGCTGTTCTAGCTGCTGCCATCTATCCAACCCCCACCCCCAGCAACCCCTGCCTGCCTCCTGCTGGGTTGCTGACTCTGGTGCTGCCCCCTGGGCTTTTCAGCCCCTTCCTCTGGTGGACCTCCCAGTTGCCCTGCTCCCCACCCATGGGACCCTCACCCTCTCCGTTTCCTGAACCCGATTCCTTGATCCCCACTCTATCCTTCCCTGGTTTCAGCACCTTCAAACACCTGTGGAAGCAGGTAGCCCAGAATCTGGACCGGTTCCGGACCTTCCCACGCCTGGCAGGAGGTAAGAGTCTTTCCTCTGCCCCTTCCCTGTGGCCCTAAGGATCCCTCCCTGGACAGCACGAAGAACCATATGTCAGACGGCTCTGTGGAAGCCAAGAACTGGGGGTCCTTAGGGACGGAGCCTCTGCCTGATGGCCCTCAGGAGGTCATGCAGTGCACCTGTTGTTGTTTTGTGCCATCGAGTCGGACCTGACTCATAGCAACCCCTCCTTGGGTTTCCGAGGCAGTATCACTACGGAAATAGATTGCTCCATCTTCCTCCCGAGGAGTGGCTGGTGAGTTTGAACCACCAGCCTTCTGGTTAGCAGTCAAGTGCCTTAGGCACTACACTACCAGAGCTCCCAGCACACCTAAGCCTTGGGATATGCATTTGTTCATTCATTTTCTCATTCAGCAGATTAGGCGGTATCTGCCCGGCATTGTTTTGGATGATTGGATGCAATGAGAGAGTCACACACAGCCCCTACCCTCCTGGACTTAAATTCCTATAGTCAAGGCAAGCAATGAACAGGTAGATGAGGAAATGTCATTAGTGAAAAGACCTCTGAAGAAATAAAAGTTGGAAAAGAAGTCAGAAGTCGAGGCCAAAGGGGTGGGTGTGGCAACTTAGGGTGGTCGGGGCAGCCTCTTCAAGGAGGCAACCTTTATGAGTTGAGACCTGAGCAGTGAGAAGCTGGCAACCGTGCAGGATCTGTGGACGAACTGTCAAGGCAGCAGCACTCTGTGTTAGAACTGTCCATGATGACAGAAGCATCCCGGTCTGCGCTGTCCCGACGGCAGCCTCCAGCTACACGTGGCTGTTGCACTTGAAATGTGGTCAGTGTGACTGAGGAAGGGACATTTTTGTTTCTTTTAGTTTTAGTTAATTTACAGCGGCCAGTGGCTGCTGTATCAAATGGCTGCCGTTCTGGCAGAGGGGACTACAAATGGGAGGGCTGTGAGGTGGGGCAATGTGCTTGTATTTGAAGAAAAGAAAGGCGGCCAGTGTTGTGTAAGGTTTTATCCTAGAAAATTAATAGATATTTAGGTTTGTCATGTATAAACTCAAGTCATTGCAAGACATGCAAGTAAGACCTCACAATATTCATTTAAAGCCAGAAAATCAGAATTAACAGTCACAGGGTTAGTTCAGTGGTTAGAGGTCAAATCTTTAGACTCTAGGGTTTTACCTTTAATAAGAGGTCTCAAGAGGAAAGGTTAGCCACAGCTTGGACTTGAACTTGGTGGAGGTCCCTTGTAGCTGGAGGCCAGGGTTAGGGCAGCAGAGAGAATGCCGGTTCATCTCTGCCTTCTCTCAGTGAGTGAGCAGAAATGAAGGGTTAATATGTGTATTTGTCACCTTGGCACCACATAACAAGGGCCATTATGACATTAAAGAGTAGCATGGTTAGTTCTTTTCTGCAGGGTTAGAGAGTAGCCACATGACACGTCTTCAAGGTTAGAGATTAGGGAGGTTGTTTAGATTGATGTTATGTTTCTTTGTGATGCCGGGTCAGTGAATTTAGGGGTTACATTTGTCACATATTTCATATGCTTCTATGTCTCTATGTCCAAGTTCAGAAAATTTCTAAATACCTTTCTTAGGACTCACAGGTTTCTAATGATGTATAGTTAATGCTAGAGAACCTCACAAAGGTAGACATATTTCTGTTTCTAAGTTCATATTTTGAGTGATGATACTTATGTAGTTTGAAAGCATCATAATGACTTACAGGATCTGAGAGCATCATAAAAACACACAGAATACAGTGTAGCTGGGGTCATGAGAGAAAAGAGGATGATAAGGTAAGGGGCTGATAGGCTGGCACAGGCCAGATCTTGTTGAAATCTTAATTTTCCCACGAAGACAGTTTCCTGGTCAAGAAAATCAGGCTCTGTGTTAGCAACGCACAACTTATTCCTGCAGGACTTCTCAGAGCCTTTAATGCTCTAGGTTGCAGTGTACAATCTTTAGGAGCGAGGCTAAGGTACAGTGTTTCCCAAATTCATTAGGCCATGGAACCCTATTTTTCAGAGACCCTGTGGACCGAGAGTCTGGGATACTCTCTGGGAAAGTGCCCTGGTGCAGAGGCCTCGTTTTCTGGACGGGAAGGCCGAGGCCTAGAGAGAAGGGCTTGTCCAGGGTCACCCAGCACATCGACAGCAGAGCTGGGCTGGTGGTTCAGTGTTCTTGTCCCTGAGGATGAGGTGGGGCCCATGAGGTGCCTGGACCCCCTCCTTGAGTTGCTGGTGGCTTTGATGGGGGTGTCTTTGGGATGCACTGTGGCATTTCTGACTTTGAACCCCCTGATGCTCCCTGATCTGACTTTTCCTAGATGGAGGACGATCAGCCCCTTCATAGAGCTGCGCTCGGTTTTCTCTTCAGAGTGTCCCTCCCACCTCCTCCCTAAGGCTCCAAGAGAGCCCACTGCTTACTCCCAGCTGGGTGACCTTGGCATGTGATTACATTTCTCTGCCTCCGTTTCCTCACCTTTAAAATGGGCCTGATAATAGGAGACTGCTGTGAGGCTTCAGTGAGACAAATAAAGCCCACGAGGTGCCCTGAGCGGAGTCTGGCACTAGGAAGTGGTCTGTGACCATGAGCAACTGTCAGCTGGTGTTTTGAGTCAGGAAACAGAAGCCTGGAAGATGAAGTGACTTGCCCGAGACTATCTCATGCTAAGTAAAGTAGAAAGTGGTTTCCCACTGTGAGTAAAGAGAAGGGGCCCAGCCTGGGCAGTTGGCATGGGATCGAACTACCCCCTCCGCCATCACCTAGAAAGCTGTGCTTGCTTCTGGGGTGGAGAGGGCACAGGATTGGCTGTGGTCTCTCCTCTGCTTTTATGTTGTACAGCTCACCTACCCCAGGCCTTGATTTGCTCATCTGTATGATGGAGGGGTTAGACTTAGTGATGGCTGGTACCCTATACCCTTGCCTGGCCTGTTTCCTGTCTGTAGAGTAGGTGTGTGAGCCTGGCTGATCAGTTGCTGGGGTTTTGTCCAGCTCCGATTCCATGCTTTCCCCAGCCCTCGTCCACTCAGTGCTGGGGGCTGACCCTGAGGCCCTGTGGACAGTGCTTGGGGCTCTTAGCTGGCCGGTAGAGCTGGCTTCCCCAGGCATTCCCCACCCCCTGTCCCCACAGAGTGTGGTGGGAAGAACTTCCACTTTGTCCACCGCTCGGCCGACGTGGACAGCGTGGTGAATGGGACCCTGCGCTCAGCCTTCGAGTACGGTGGCCAGAAGTGCTCTGCCTGCTCCCGCCTCTACGTGCCGAGCTCTCTGTGGCCGCAGATCAAAGGGCGGCTGCTGGAGGAACACAGCAGGATCAAAGTGGGCGATGTGAGTGTCCCCCGCTGTGGCGCAGTGGGGGGCTGATGGGATTGGGCAGCTTGGCAATGAGAGCATCCCGAGAGGCCTGTGCGGGCGGGGCCGCGGGTGTGGGGCGGAGGACTCGTCTCAGCCTGCGGGTGACTGGTCTGTCTCTTCTGGTGTCTCCCTGGCCTCCAGCCTGCAGAGGATTTTGGAACCTTCTTCTCCGCAGTGATTGATGCCAAGGTATAGGGCAGGAAGCAGGGCGTTCCTGGGGGGTGAATCCTGGACTAGGGAGGGAGGAGGGGGAGGATGAGACAGGGACCCTTGACCCGAGGACAGCCCAGCCCCACTGCTTTAAGCAGGGCAGCTCTGTAGCCATGCACACGTGCACACACACATGCACACACACACGGCTTTAAACAGGGCAGAATCATCTGTAACCAGAGAAGCACTCATCTCCCACACACCCTGGAAGGCTCAATAGGCCCCTCCTGAATGCGTAGTGTACATACACACACATGCACACACCCATGTACACACATGCAAATAGGCACACATCTGCATGCATGAACCTAAGTGCACATACATGTGCATTTTCATGTAGACATATATAACTGTGTGTGTAGACACTCATGTAGGTCTACCCACATAAGCACAGGCACATCCACAGATACGTAGGCACACACATGCCTGTATGCATAAATGTAGGCACACATATGTGCATGTACACATGAATATCCATGTACGTGCTCATGTATATGTAGCTGTGTGTCAGTCTACAGGCATGAACATAAGCACACATATGCACACACACACACACACCTGTTTACTTAAACAGAAAAAGATGTGGCCATGCATATGCCTATATATAAATATAACATTTATAAAAATATATAGTTATAAATGTATTAGGTATACTATATAATAACTTAAACATATTTTAAATATAAAATATGCAAATAAGATATTTACACATATGTACACAGTCCCTGGGTGGTGTTGATGGTTAAGTGCTCTCCTGCAAGCCACAAGGTTGGTGGTGAAACCCACCCAGAGGCGCCTCGGAGATAGCCTATTGATCTGCCTCCAAGAGATCACAGCCTTGAAAATGCTGTGCCCTGCACAGTGAAAACAATTCTGCGCTGCACCTGTGGGGCAGCCATGAGTTGGCATCAACTCAGTGACAGCTAACAGCAACAAGAAGATATCTTTCAAGTTGTAAACACTTGTTCTCGTGTTTAGTTTATTATTTAAGAACATTTGTTAACAGCAAGTTAAACATTCCATCAATACCACTTGAAAACAAAATTTTTGTTTGAAAGCCGATTGAAACATGTTAAGTACACCTATATAGTTCTGTTGTACACACACTGATACACACTCACCCCCCCATATTCTCCCCCCTACACACACTCACCCTCACACACATTCTCTCTCACATAACCTGTTTGCTTAAACAGAGAAAGATGTGGCCATGCATATGCACACGAACACACCCCCCACATTTTTATCCACACACTCATCCCTACACACACATTCTCACGCGCACACACACACACATCTGCTCTTGTCTCTGGTGTGGCTCAGCCGGATCTGGCTTTTGCCCTCTCCACCCTACCCCACTCCCAGCCACCCCATTTCAGAAGGTGGCCCTTCAGGAGCAGGGGTTTCAGGTGTGAGTATGTGGAGGGGCTGCTAGAATGGTCTCCCAGCAGCTCTAATACCTTCTCTTCCCTGCCCCCCAGTCCTTTGGCCGTATCAAGAAGTGGCTGGAGCATGCCCGCTCCTCACCCAGCCTCACCGTCCTGGCTGGGGGCAAGTGTGACGACTCTGTGGGCTACTTTGTGGAACCCTGCATTGTCGAGAGCAAGGACCCTCAGGAGCCCATCATGAAGGAGGTGACTGGGCGGGCAAAGAGGGGGCCAGATGGGACCCGGCATCTGGAGCCCAGAGGAAAACAGTCTCATCTAAGCACATCATATAGCTGGGTACTTTCAGAGTGACAGATGACAGGAGTGAGGTGCTCAAAAGGGAAAGTTTCACACCAGTGAGAGCAAGGCCAGGTACTAAGCTCAGGCGTTGTCCTTGACCTGGATTCCACTGCCCATAGCAGCCTTGGTGACTGCAGGGATGATGGACTCACTGTGGGCTGACGACAGCTAGGCACCTGACTGAGATGAGGTGTGTCCTATCATTCACATTTTATAAATGAGAATAAGGTGAAGAAGTCAAGGCATTTGCCCAGGTGGCAGCACAGGGTTGGGGACTGCTAGGGATGAGGTCTTCCCCCAGCCCCTTAAGGGAGTGGGGACCATGAGCCCTCTGGAGAAGGGTTCCCAGGCCAACAGCTGCTGGAAGCCTCCTATTTCTGAGGGCCTGGCCCCTTTACTTTCCAGGTGTGGGCTTGGCTACAGGGAGGGCCAGAAAGTTCCCTTGGCTCTTCTGCCAGGTTAGGGTGGGGTGGGCAGGGCAGGGCATGAAGACATTCCTGTGCCCGGAGAGAAACCAACCAAACCAAACACACTGCCATCGAGTCAGATCCAACTCACGGCGATCCTCCTTGGGTTTTTGAGGCAGTATCACTATGGAAGTAGATTGCCCAACCTTCCTTCCAAGGAGTGGCTGGTGGGTTTGAACCACCAGCCTTCTGGTTAGCAGTCAAGTGCTTTGGGCACTATGCTACCAGAACTCCCAGAGGGAACAGGTAAGGACTGGTCCTTCTTAAGGGCTGAGGTCAGGGAACTAGGGGGAGGGAGACCATGAGCAGGGAGACTAGGAGGGCTCAGGCCCTGGTCCTAGTGCAGGGCCTGACCCTGCAGCTTCTCTCCCAGGAGATCTTCGGGCCTGTGCTGACCGTGTATGTCTACCCGGATGACAAGTACAAGGAGACGCTGCAGCTGGTCGACAGCACTACAAGCTACGGCCTCACGGGGGCAGTGTTTGCCCAGGATAAGTGAGTGGCCAGGGTAGCTGCAGTCCCTTCTGTTCTAAATCTGATGTTCTTGCCCCTGCTGGTTCTAGTCCCATTCCACCCCTGAGCACCTGCTTGGGGGCTGTTCTGGCATTGCTCTCATGGCCTTGCTGCCTCCCTGTTTTATCCCTGTTCCCCTTCACCTCAGCACTGACAGGCAGGCTGCCCAGCAAGGTACTGAGAGGCAACTGGCTATTTGTTGAGAATATAGATTCTACAACTCCTGTGTGGACCCCTGAATCTGAATCTCTGTGGACTGGGCCTGAGAATCGGTCCTTTAGGCCAGTCCCCCGACTCTGATGAGACTGAGGAAGGTGATGACCCCATGTGCACAGAGGGAAACTAGGTTACTGCTGGTCTTGTAGAGATAATTCAAACCTGGGCCCCATGATGCTGAAGCCATGGCTTTGCATTTTCCTTCCTCCAGCACTTGGAGGTGGGACTAAACTTCAAGGAAGGAGTAGGGGTCTAGGAGTCCGCATAGCTCCCAAGGGACAGGAAGATTAGAACATGTGTGTCCCTCCCTGGATCTAGCCCTGACCCATGTGTGCTTCATAAATTGCCCCATTCCATCCTTGCAGCAGCCTATGAGCAGGTGAACTTACTCCCTTCACAGAGGATGAAGCTGAGTCTCAAGAGATGCTAAGCAACCTGCCCAGGGACCCACAGCAAGTGTCTGGCCAGTGTTGCTTGTCCCAGGCTTGGCCTAATGTAGGCTGCAGCAGGGGTGTCAGGGGCTGGGAGACAGAGGGAGGCTGGCTGCCCTCTAATTGCCCCTCTGCCCCTGTAGGGACATTGTCCACGAGGCCACAAAGATGCTGAGGAATGCTGCCGGCAACTTCTACATCAACGACAAGTCCACCGGCTCAGTGGTGGGCCAGCAGCCCTTCGGGGGAGCCCGAGCCTCTGGTGAGTGAGTCCTCCTTCCCAGAGGGGAGCCACATTCTTAGCAGAAGACCTTCCTTCATCTCAAGGGTATTAACAGTCATCGGAATAGCACCATTTTCTGGGCACTCACTGGGTGCCAGGTACTGTGCTAGGCCTTTGAGTCACACTAACAGGTTCAGTCCTCTCAACAACCTCGTGAGCTAAGGTACTGCTGTTATTATCCTTGTTGGACAGAGGAGGAAAGCGAGGCCCAGGGCGGGGAAGTGACTTGCTGAGGGTCACATGGCTAGGGAGTGATGGTGCTGGGAGTTTGGTTCCAGCACCCATACTTTTTATTACTATGCTTGAGGTCACTGAAGGACAGCTCACTCCATTTTGCACATAGTTTGAAAACTGAGGCTCAGAGAGGGGTGATGACTTGCCAGAGCTCACAGCTGCGCAGTGGCAGAGCCAGGGCTGGAACCCAGGTGTCCTGACTGCCAGTCCAGTGCTCCCTGCCTTGCAAACACCCTTGCTGCCATGGCACGTCCCTGCCTGTCACTTCCTGCCTCAGCCAACTCAGGCCGTGTATACTGGGCATGGATATGCCCAATAGCCTCTGGTTTCTGTGAATGTTTGGTTCTAGCTGAGCCGGCCCCTCTCACCTCAGCAGCTTTGAGGCACATCCCTCCTGTGCCATGCCTTCTGTATGTCTGTCTAATGTTCTTCTAGTGCCCCAAGCTGGGCATGTGTGCAGGGCAAGCTTGCTGCCCACTGCCCATGCTGGTGCCCCATTTATTCCATCACCTCCTCCTCACCCCTTTCCCATCTTCCCAGAACCATTGAATCTTGTCAGACAAACACTGAGCTATCTTTTGACAGGCACCAATGACAAGCCTGGAGGGCCACACTACGTGCTGCGCTGGACCTCGCCCCAGGTCATCAAAGAGACCCACCAGCCCCTGGGAGACTGGCGCTACTCGTACATGCAATGAGCTCACCCAGCGCTTCCCACCACCCACCTGTCTATCTGTCCAGACGACTGACTTCTGATTACACTGGTGTCCCGTCCCCGCCCCCCAGCCCTTCTATCCAGCTTTTCCTGGGATGGCCCCTTTCCTAGCAACAAGGCCAGAAACCCCTCGCCCCTCTGGCCTGTATTCTGGCCCTCCTGACTCACTGCTCAGGGGCAGGGGCTTGGCTCATGAATCATGCTGGGGAGGAACAGGGCTGCTGACCTGCCCCTGCCAGCTGTCCTAGAAATTCCCTCTGGTAGGTGGGACCTTAGTGCCTGGCTGCCTCTCCATCTGTTTGATTCTCTCCCCTGTACTAGGGCCCAGGGACTACAGAACCTGGGAAATGGAGGTAGAGCAGCTCCCAGGGTCCTTGGGGAAAAGGAGGCAGCTCTGGGGCTCTTAGCAAGACTTCTGACCTCAGCCCAGGCTTGCCTCTGAGGCCACCTTGCCTGCAGGGTTAGGAGTGCCCCAGGGTGGCCTGCAGGTCTGGCGAACGATGCTGTATGGTACAAGGGACACCGGTGGGCTGCCCACCGTCCTCACCATCCCTGAGCCAGCAGGTGCCTCTGCCCAACCATACGCCTTAGGTGCCCATGTGCCTTTCACCAGGATTCCTGGCTGGCTCCACGTGGTGAGCTGAGGGGGCCCTGAGGCCCACTACCACAGTGTGAATGTGGTGGTCCTTCCTGTGATTTTGGAAAACCTGGGGAGGGAGGCTTCATCCTATGTCGGCCCTCCCTTAGCTCCTTTGGTCCTGCCTCTGGAGATGGCCGTGCTCAGAGCCTGCATTGATGAGCTTTGCCAGCAGAGCTCAGCTCAGTCCCTACTGGGCAGAGTTCCCTATTTAGGCCCAGACGGACACAGCCTCACCCTCTCTTCTCCCAGTAACCCCCCACCCCCACCCCACCCTGGGCCTAGCCTTGAGTTCCAGAGGTCGGCAGTTTGAACCCACCAGCTGCTCCATGGGAGGAAGACTGCTGCTTCCATGAAGATTACAACCTTGGAAACCCTGTGGGGCAGTTCTACTCTGTCCTATAGGGTTGCTGTGAGTCAGAATCAACTTGATGACAGTGGATTTTGAAAGCACTGGGCCCTCCTCAGAGAACTCTGGTGCGGGACTGTGGGGCCATTCCCAAGTGCCACCGCCTTACTCTGTCCCCATGGTCAGTGAGGCATGCTGATGCTGTCTGCTCCCCGGGCAGGGCCAGGGCAGGCAGCCCGAGTGGGTGTGCTTGGCTCAACTAGTCCCACACTGTGAGGTGGCAGCAGGATTTGGCCTGCTGCCACCCAATAAAATGCCTGTTACTTCGTGAAATCAGTGGTCTTTCTGGTGGCGTTGTGGGAAGTGGCCAGTTTCTCCTAAGTCTGATGGCATTGGTGGTGCGTTGTCGGGTGGGAGCACAATGTCATCAGGGTGATGGAAGGAAGGGTGGGACTCCCTGCTAGAGGTGTCTGGGATACTGGAACCAGATGGGCTGGGCTCAAATCCCAGCTCTCTGCCTCCCAGCCCTGTGAGCTTCAAAAAATTATGTAATCTCTCTGACCTTCCGTCTCTTCATCTGTAAAATGAGGATGCTAATACCCCTTCCCTTAAATAAAGTCATAGAGGTTGATGAGATACTTCATGTAAAGTGCATGGAACAGTGCTGGGCACATAATACGTGGTTCTAAAATGTTACCTATTGTTGTCGCAACCACTGTTAATGTGTACTGTATTTTTATGGAAATAACATGTATTTTTATAAGCATTCTATGCTAATTTTTTTTCAATAACGCGAAAAAGTTAGCGTGACATGCTTATGAAAATATATCACGGGAGGGAAGGGGTTGGCAAAAAAATTATTATGTGCATTATTTGCATAACAGTACAATACTAAGGACTTTGTTTTCTCCCTCACAACATCCTTGTGGAGTAAGCTGTCTGCTCTGCCCCCATTTTGCAGATGAGGAAACAGAGGTACAGAGAGGTTAAGGGAACTGCCAAGGGGCTCAGCAGTGGTGTTGCTAGGATATAAATCCAGGTCTGTCTGATTCCAAAACCCATTCTGTTTCCTCCAAACTGATGTCCATACACGTGGTCCACACATGTGGATCTTGGAAATATCTACTTAGTGGCCAAGTGATAGCTTGGTGGAAGCAGTGTGGCCAGTTAGCTCGATCCCAGAATCAGATTCCAAGCCCATATGGCCTGTCTTAGTTGGAGATTTCTAGAGAAACAGAGCAGTAATGATAGATAGATGTTAGATAGATAGATAGATATTTACTTCAAGGGATCGACTTACGAAATTATAGGTTAGACAAAAGCCTTGCAGACTTGTATCCCAAGATCCAGACATCAGGCAATGGAGGAACTGCAGAGGGCAGAGGGAGCGAGTTCTACCAAAATATTTAAGGTCTGCGCCCTAAGGAAACACTTTCAGCTGACTGATTAGATTACATTATGGAAGGTCATTACATTGTGTGAGATTACAATATGGAACAGCAACTAGTCTAGTCTTTTACCAAATCACTGGGAACCCTAGCCTAGCCACACTGACATGTGAAATTAACTATCACATGGGTCAGCTGACTTTTAGAGGGAAAAGTATGTGTTGGCCAGCCTCCACCCAAAGACAGAATTTCCTAAAACACATTGACACCCCCTGTCTGAGTGTCTTTTGACTAGGGCTGTTGGTTTGGAGGGTCTCAGTGCTGGGGGAGGGGATGGAAGGTTTTACCCCTATTGATCTCCCCACCCTGACTCACCCAGGGGATGCTAGTGATTTGTGCAGAAAGTTTGACTCTGGGCAAAGCTGGCCCTGTCTTGAAGCCCATGAGAGACAGTGCCCAGGAGCAAAGGCAGTATCCAGAACACTTGGGCTGAGCTACCAAAAGGAAGGTTGGCAGCTGCACTTCACAGTTAAGGGGCATGCAGGCCCTGTTGATGTTTTTTTTTGTTGTTGTTGTTACTGTTTTTTTCTTTTTTAACATTTATTGTGATTTGGGTGAAAGTTTACAGAGCAAATTCATTTTCCATACAACTGTTCATACACAGTTTGTTTCATGACGTTGATTGCAATTCCCATAATATAACAGCTCTCTTCCCACTTCCTCACTGCGGTTACCTTTTCTCTGTGTCCTCCTTTTTCATGGATCCCTGTTCCCCTGAGCTTTCTCCCAGTGCAAATGGTCCCCCTTCCTTCTCCCACGGTTGATTGTTCTCAAGAGTGTACCTACCTGGTGTAAATGTTCACCTTATGTGCCTGCCTATTGTTTGCCTAGAAGCCACGGGAGTGAGTTAAATTCTAGGTCCAAAAGGTGAGTAGGGGCCATAGTCTCGGGGGTTTCACCAATCTCTATCAGACCAGTAATCCTGGTCTTTTTTATGATTTTGAGTTTTGTTCCACATTGTTCTCCCATTCTATCCAGGATCTCCTGCACTGATTCCTTTCTGAGTGGTTGACAGTGACAGCCAGACACTGTCTAGTTCTGTTCTCATGATCATGTAGGCCAAGGTTCACATAGTCCTCTAGTCCCTTGGATTGTTTCCATGCGTCTTAGGTCTTCTTCATTCTTTGCTCTGGATGAGGAGAGACCAGTTGTTAGATCTAGATGGCTGCTTGCAAGCTTTTAAGGCCCCAGTCTCTACTCACCAAAGTAGGATGTAGAACAATGTTTTTGTGTAGTATGTTAAGCCAATTGAGCTTGATGTCCCCCATGGCTATGGTCCCAAGCTCACAGATCCAACAACTCACTCCCTCAGGATGGTTGGGTGTGGCTAAGAAGTTTTTGTAACTTTGCCCCCTGTTAATTCTATTCATATGGACATTCTCCAGCATATACAAATACATACGTGGAAATATCATTTGCCAAACTTATATATGGCCATAGGTGTATTCCTTTTGCCTAGCCATACCTGAGCATTCATCCTTTCTACCTATAGATCTACCCATAGATTAATGTTTGTTAATTACTGATACTGCAATACCTGTTGATGTTTTTGAATGAAGGGAGAAACTTGCTCAAAATCATGGAGACAGTGGGCAGAGTTGGCTAATGACTTGGTAGTTGTCTTATCTGTGTGGTCACATTAATCTTTGACAGTGACCTTGTTGTTGTTGTTATGTGCCGTCGAGTCGGACCCAACTCATGGTGACCCCTCCTTGGGTTTCTGAGGCGGTATCACTACAGAAGTAGATTGCCCCATCTTCCTTCCGAGGAGTGGCTGGTGGGTTTGAACTGCCAGCCTTCTGGTTAGCAGTCAAGTGCCTTAGGCACTATGCTACCAGAGCTCCCTTACCAGGTTAACTATTATCTGTCTTTTGTAGAAGGGCTGAGAGAAGACAGAGACATGCAATGACAAGCCCAAGGTCACACAGCTGGTGAGTAGGAAGGCTGAGGGTTGGACCCAGGTCTGTGGGTGTCCAGAGGCCACCTGCTCCATCAGGTACTCCAACTTACCAGCTGCTCCCTCTACCACTTTACTCCACCCTCCCCTCACCCTGGCATCTCTGCCTCCATTTTACCTGGAGCACGAGTTGGCTCAGCCATGCTTACTTGGTTCCCTCTGCCCTTCCCTGGCTCCAGACCTGGGTCTAATGGCTCCAGATGAGGGCCTCTTGGTAGGGTCACCACAGTAAGTCCCCGTGTCTGTGGTGGCTCAGAGAGCCTCTTCATTTCCCTACTGTGGCTGGGGGCCCAAACACAGGCCTTGGAGCGTGAACCATTTGACTGAGGCCGGACATCCCTCCACCACCACGTGCTGCTGATCAGGCGTGTGCTTTACGGAAATCAGGGGCCACCTGTGCCATCTGGCCCCCAGGCAGACCTGCAGACCCTGGGGACCGGAGGAAGTGGCATGGTGCAGACCCACGCTCTTCACACAGCCACATCTTCACTTTCATCAATTCATCCACTCATTGATCATCGTGCCTGAATGTTCCCTGGTTAGAGGCCAGCATTATTAATAATGACAGGCATGATTATTTGAACGTGGGTGCCAGGCACTATGTGGAACACTTTAGATGCCATGTCCTCGATTCCTCGCAGAAACCCCATAAAGTACATATTGTTGTTCCCATTTTACAGATAAGGAAACTGAAGCACAGAGGGGTTAAATAACTTGCAAACCAGTAGACAATGCCAGGTCTCTGACAGGCAAGCCTTTGCTCACAACCATTACTGCACTGCCCTCCTGGAGCACAGCCCCTGGAGTCAGATGGGCCTGGCCTTAACCCGTCTCAACCCCTCTTACTGTCCCTTGACCTCCTCAGGCCTCAGCTTTGACATTTTTCCAGGGAGCTGAGGATCAAATGGGATACATTTTTTTTATTGTTTTATTATTTATTGCTGAGAATATACACAGCAGAACGTACAGCAATTCAAGTTTTTACACCCACAGTTCAGTGACGTTGATTCCATTCTTTGAGTTGTGCAACCATTCTCACCTTTTCTGGGTGTTCCTCCCCCCATAATATAAACTCGCTGCCCCCTAAGGTTCCTATCTAATCTCTCAAGTTGCTGTTGTCATTTTGATCCCACTTAAATAGTGTTTAAGAGTGTCATGCTCAAGGCAGACATTCTTTACTGGTTTAGCTAAACTATTGTTTGATTGTAAGAAAACTTCAGGGGATACTTTTGGTTTAAGGTTTAAGGATTATCTCAGGGTAATAGTTTCAGGGGTTCATCCAGAAAGTGTGGATTCCTCAAGAAATTGAAATTTTGCTCTGCATTTTCCCCCTTTTCACCAAGAATCGTCTATAGAGTCTTTGATCTAAATATTCAGTGATTGTAGCCAGGTACCATCCAGTTCTTCTGGTCTCATGGCAAAGGAGGCAGTTGTTCAGGGAGGCAATTAGCCACACATCCTTTGGGACTCTTTCGTTTTATGGGTTGCATCGTATCCTCCCCCTTCCCCTACCCCTAGTTTACATAGGCTCAGAGAGGGGCAGGGACAGGCTGTAGATCACACAGCAAATCTCGATTCTTTCTGCAGCACCAGGCAGGAGGTCCCTCTCTATTTGAATGTCTGTGGGGTGATGCCACTCCAAGAATGGTTCAAGGGTAAGAGAGAGACTGCTCCCCAACTCTGGAACTGCTGTGACATCAACATTATTCAGGCTAACTTGGAGAAGCTTTGGGCTCTTTCAGAAGAGTGGGCATGGAGCTAAGGATGCCCTTCTGCCCACCCCCGCATGGTAGTCCATTTCACTACAAGAAGGGAAGAAGAGCTTGCACCTTACAAACTCACCTTCCTCCAGGGCCTGCTCTGCCCCCTGCAGTTTGCACCTGCCATTTTATTTAACCCCCACACCAATCCCGGGAGGTAGGTATTGTTACCCCTATTTCAGTGGGGAACAGCCACAACAATGGACTCAAACCATCATGAAGATGGTGCAGCACCCTGAACATTTCTTTCTGTTGTACGTAAGGCCACCATGAGTCGGAGCTGATTCAGTACCCACTAACAACAGTGTCTTAGATGACATGTAGCATTGGGAAAGTCAACTGCGAAGGAACTGTATCAAGTGCTGAGGAGCAAGGATATCTCCTTGAGGACTAAGGTGTGCCTGACACAAGCCATGATATTTCCAATCGCCTGGTATGCATGTGAGAGCTGGACAATGAGTAAGGAAGACCGAAGAAGAGTTGATGCTTTTGACTTGTGGTGCTGGCAAAGAATGCTGAAAGTACCATGGACTGCTAAAAGAACTAACAGATCTGTCCTGGAGGAAGTGCAGCCAGGATGCTCCTTGGAAGCAAGAATGGCCAGACTTCGTCTCACCTATTTTGGTCATGTTATCAGAAGGGACCATCCCCTGGAAAAGGATGTCATGCTTGGTAGGGTGGAGGGTCGACGAAAGAGGGGGAGGCCTTCAACGAGATGGATTGACACGGTGGCTGCGATGATGGGCTCAAGTATAGCAGGGATTGTGGGGCTGGCGCGGGATCGGGCAGTGTTTCGTTCTGCTGTGCATGGGGTCGCTATGAGTTGGAAACGACTCGACGGCACTTAACAACAACAACAACAACAACAGTGTCAATGGGGAGGAAGCAAAGGTTCAGAGAGGTTAAGTAACCCAACCACACACAGCAAACTGAGCTGATCTCAAATCCAGATTGACAGGTTGTGCTGCTTCAAGGTCCTTCATGTGTACATCAGCAGAAACTGGTTAGCAACATAAGGCACATACTTGACACAGGTAGGTGTCAAGTGAAGATACATATGGAATTAGGAGCAGGGAGCCCTTTCTCAGAGGAGACAAGGCTCAGACTGCACCTTGGAGGAGCAGGGCTGGGCTTGGTAGGGAGGGCAAGCACTAAGTTTGCAATCAACTTTTTGTACCTTAGAGCTTCCTGCCACCACACCCCAGGACCCAGTAGCTTTTGATGCCAGTGACAGACCCATCTGAGCCTGAATTGTAGCAGGTCCCCTAAGACTCCTACTAGGCCACACTTCATTGGGGCCAGGAAAGGAACAAAACAGCATTAGATGGACTCCCCCCAAAAAAAAAAAAAAATCACACTCAACTCCCGTCAAGTCGGATCCGACTCGTAGTGACCCCTTCTTGGGTTTCCGAGGCAGTATCACTATGGAAGTAGATTGCCCAACCTTCCTTCCGAGGAGTGGCTGGTGGGTTTGAACTGCCAGCCTTCTGGTTAGCAGTCAAATGCCTCAGGCACTACACCGCAATCCCATTACTATCAAGTTGATTCCAACTCACAGCTATAATATAGGACAGAGTAGAAAAGCCCCATGGGGTTTCCAAGTCTGTAAGTCTTTATGGAAACAAACTGCCACATCTTTCTCCAATGAAGCGGACAGTGGGTTTGAATTGCCAGCCTTTTGGTTAGCAGCCAGGTGCTTTACCACTGCACCCCCATGGCTCCTTCAAGACATGGAAAAGGGTCTCTAATTCAAATGGGTCCCTGATTCACAGAAGCCATTTCTTTCCTTCCAACTCTTTGGGTTTGATTTTGGTCATTTTAAACTTTCCTTTTGATCACCACTCTGCCCTTCAGCATCAGGTCAAAGGGAAGGCACCCAGAGAGAGCTCACTCTGCAGAGCTGACTGGGTTGTGTGGTGACAGAGGGCAGCCTTCTGAGGAAGCAAGGCCACCTCTCACCCACTTCTGCCCCCTTCTCTCTTGGCTGTTGCCGCTTTTTATCAAAAGCAATAACTTCATGATGGAATGTGGCCTGAAGATTAAGAGCCAAGCTCTGGAGTCAGACTGTGGGGTTGGAATTCCAACACTGCCCCTTCTGTGCCTCCATTTCCTCATCTGTGGGTTAGTAGTGGTGGTCCCAGCTATGGTAAACATTAAACAAGCTGATGGGTGACAAGCACTCAGCACAGTGCCAGGTTCATTGCAAGCACTCGCCAGAGGCTTAGTGACAATGGCTATGTTTTTGAGCACCTACTATGGATCACAGGGCAATGGTGGTTCAGTGGTGAAATGCTTGTCTTCCCTGCAAGAGACCTGGGTTTGATTCCCAGCCAGCGCACCTCATGCACAACCACCTCCATCTGTCAGTGGAGGCTTGCATGCAGAACAGGTTTTAGTGGAGCTTCCACACAACCTAGGCAGAGTAGGATGAAAGGCCTGGCAATCTACTTCTGGAAATCAGCCAATGAAAACCCTATGGATCACACAGTGTCTTGTGTGACAGGGTGGGACCAGGCAACATTTGGTTCTGTTATGCATGAGGTCGCCATGAGTTGCAGACCAACTCAAAGGTGGCTAACACCAATAAGAACTATAGGTCCAACCAAAAAAAAACAAACTCTCTGCCTTTGAGTTGATTCCAACTCATAGTGACCCCTCCTTGGGTTTTTGAGGTGCTATCTCTACAGAAGTAGATTGTCCAACCTTCCTTCCGAGGAGTGGCTGGTGGGTTTGAACTGCCAGCCTTCTGGTTAGCAGTCAAATGCCTTAGGAACTACGCCACCAGAGCTCCCAACTATGGGCCAGGTGCCATAAATACTTTACCACATGCCAAGTCCAGCTTGGTCAAGCTCTAAAGCATGGGTTCTTTTTGCCACCATACTCTTCTCCTGATGTGACATCTCCTGATCTCCCTCCTACATGTTCAAAACATTAAGGGCATGAGACGTGTCCTCAACCAAGGACAGAAAGCTAGAGCTTTGTTCAGATAGCTAGACACACTCTCTCCCTCCAAATGGGGCTTTCCTGGACCACTCCAGTTCCACTGTGCCCTGAGAAAAAATCACCCTCACCCCAGCAGCCCCTTACACACACACATAAAAGCCCTCAAACATCACCTGCCCCAGGTGCTTCTCTGCCTCTTGGTCAGTGGCAGGATCATCACTATGTAAATGTCTATGCAAATCCCCTGGTGTCAGCCGTCAGCTCTCTGGTGAGGCAGGGCCACCTTCTCAGACCCCCACTTTGCAGCCATGAGGCCCCAGGCCAGTGTAGTCTGCTTCCTGTTCTTCCTGCTGCAGGCTTTGACTGAGTCCACCAAGAATTCGGACTTCCACCTGGCTGGGGACTACCTCCTGGGTGGCCTCTTCAGTCTCCATGCCGACATGAAGGGCATCGTCCACCTCAACTACTTGCAGGTGCCCAAGTGCAAGGAGTGAGTCTCCAGTGGGAAGCTGGACATGGTGGTGGGGTGGTGGTTGGCCCTCTAGTCCTTGGGAGGCCAGGCCAGGGCCAGGGGTTTAGAACATTCCCCCGACTCATTGCCAAACCCTCTATCCTGAGATCTAGCCCAGTGGTCCTCAGGGAGGCTTCACAGAGTTACCGAAATCCTTGGTGATCGTGTTCTGAAACACTGAGACATGGGTCATCCCCACGTCATGCTTCTTGAGAAAGAGTCACAGGGTGTTTGAGCCTAGAAGGTCTTAGAGAGAGAGCATCAAAACCACTCTCATCCCCTTTGGTAAGTGGGGATTCCCAGTGGGTCAAAATCCAGTCTAGATATCACGTCTTAGGCCTTTAGGAGACAGACTGTAGGTTTCTGTAGCAGATTTCCTTTCTCCATTCTGTTTGGCTTCAGACTAGAGGAGAAATTTTGCATTTTCTAAGGATAGTGGGTGGGTAAGTAGAGGGACTTCTAGGATTGGAGAGCACTTTCTCTGCCCTCCTCAATCCATAAGAGTTTTAGGGTAGCAACATCATCTAAAGGCTGCATGGAGCCATGTTCATGCAAGCATGAAGGTTGGGCCTGGGGTTATAAAATATAAAACCTTACACAGAAGAACAACAAAAATGGGGTGATGCTCAATGGGATGGATCGACACAGTGGCTGCAACAATGGGCTTAAGCCTAGCAATGGTTGTGAAGATGGCACTGGACTGGGCAGGGTTTTGTTCTGTTGGATACAGGGTTGTTATCAGTTGAAACCGACTCAATGGCACCTAACAACATAAACTCACTGCCGTCGAGTCTGACTCATAATGACCCACTTTGGGTTTCTGAGGTGGTAAATCCTTACGGAAGTAGATTGCCCAGTCTTCCTTCTGTGGAGTGGCTGGTGGATTTGAACCACCAACCTTCTGGTTAGAAGTCAAATGCTGTTCTGGTTACCTTGTGCCACTCTGACAAGAATATACCACAAATGGGATGGTCATAACAAACAGGAGTTTATTCTCTTACAGTTTGGAGGCTTTAAGTCCAAGTTCAAAGTGCCAGGCTCTAGGGGCTGGGTGAAAGCCTCTCAGCCTTGGGCTTCAGCTCTGCCTCCAGCTCCCGGCCCACTGAAGCTAGAGGCTTTTCTTCACTCAGACAGCTGCTGGCTGCTGAGGCTGCCAAGCCCAAGGTTGACAACTAAAAAGGTACAGTCCTGATATTACCAAACTACATGGCAGGCCATTAGTTCAAGTCGATTGTTAAGTCCCAAGGTTGGCAGAGCATGGCAGGCTGCTGAACAACGACATGGCTACATGCAGGGTCCAAGTGTGCCATAAATGAGAGACCATTCTCCAAAGCTTCTGCTTATATACAGGAAGCAGACCACATTCCCTAAGGCAGCTGATCAGCTGCTCACAGTAGATTCCACAATGAAGTTGATTACTAGTCTCATCACGGGGAATACTACATCCGGCTACCCAGCCCCTCAACCAGGTCCAGCCAAGTTGACACACAAACTGAACTACCACAAATGCCTTAGGCACTGTGCCACCAGAGCTGTAGAAGAGATAAATGCATTCTGGGAGACAGGGAGAAAAGAGCTCAGTACCCATTTCCATGGAGTTAATTCTGACTCATAGCAGTCCTATAGAGCAGAATAGAACTTCCCCATAGGGTTTCCAAGGTTGTAAATCTTTACAGAAACAGACTGCCTCATCTTTCTCCTGCAGAGCAGCTGGTGGATTCAAACCACCAACTTTTCAGTTAGCAGTAGCAGTTGAATGCTTAACCACTGTGCCACCAGAGTTCCTAGGAGAAAAGAAGGGGGAGTGCAAAAGATGGTTGAGGGCTGACTATAAGTAGTGCACAAATTATATGATGTTGGTGGAAGACTTCTGCTGCCTGAGAATGGTGGGAGTGGTGGTGCTGGGGCTGATCTGACGCCTGCCGTACAGTATGGAGTCTAATGAAGGTGATAGTGGTGATGGAAGTGGTGGTGATGCTGGCAATGTTGATAACTGTAATACTGGTGATAATGAAAAGGGTGAAGAATGTGATGGGGATGGTGGTGGCAGTGGTGGAGATGGAGACGGTGGCGGTGATAGTGGTGATAGTGATGGTGGTAGTGATGGTGGTTGTGATGCTAATGGTGGTGGTATGATGGTAGTGGTGATGGTGGTGGTAATGGTGTAGGAATGATGGTCACAGGGATGTGGTATCAGTGATGACAGTGGTGGTAATTTTGTAACAGAAATAGTGGATGATGATGGTGATAGTGGAGATGGTGATGGTTGAGGTAATGGTAATGTAGAGTGGGTAATGCTGGTCACAGAGAGATGGTGACATTGTGATGATGGTCATAGGGATGGTGGTGATAGTAGCAATGGTAGTAATGATGGTGGCCCACAGGTACCATGGTATCAATGGTGGTCATACAATGGTGATCCTAGGGATGGGATGCAGTGCTAATGATGTGGTGAAAATGCCAGCATCTCCTGGAGCACCTCCTTCTTGGGCAACACTTTGGCTTTCCCAGAGCAGGGAGGAGGAGTCAGTTGGTTTTCTCCCTTCTTCCACTCCTCATTCTGCACCTGCTTCCTGCCCCACCCTGTTGTGGCCCCTCCAGGTATGAGATGAAGGTTCTGGGCTACAACTTCATGCAGGCCATGCGCTTTGCAGTGGAGGAGATTAACAACCACAGCAGCCTGTTGCCAGGCATACTGCTGGGCTACGAGATGGTGGATGTCTGCTACATCTCCAACAACATCCAGCCTGTGCTCTACTTCCTGGCACAAGAGGACAACTTCCTGCCCATCCAGGATGACTACAGCAGCTATGTGCCCCGTGTGGTGGCCGTGATTGGTCCTGACAATGCTGAGTCCATTAGCACTGTGGCCAACCTCCTCTCCCTTTTTCGCCTTCCACAGGTGAGGCCTTGGGAGAGGTATCTGGGGAGGGGGCAGAGAAGTAGTTGTCTGGAGGGCTCACTTCTTCCCACCGATCATGAGGGAACAGAGACAGAGTCAGGACTTAGCCCCAACCCCTGGCCTCCTTCTCCCTTCCTGGGAAGACAGCTGGACCTATTAGTTAAGAGTTCAGGCTTTGGAGGAAGGTAGACTTGGGTATGCATCTTGGCTCTCAGTCTTGGCCACACCTCTCAGCTCTGAGCCTTGGTCCCCACTCCCCTTTCCTCCTCTGCCTGTAAAGTGGTATACAAGTTCCATGCCAGGACCATCTGAAGACAAAAGTGTTCCTAGGAGCTCTGGTAGCATAGTGCCTAAGGCACTTGACTGCTAACCAGAAGGCTGGTGGTTCAAACCCACCAGCCACTCCTCAGAAAGAAGGTTGGGCAATCCTACTTCCATAGTGATACTGCCTCGGAAACCCAAGGAGGGGTCGCTATGAGTCGGGGCCGACTCAACGGCACATAACAACTACAACAACAACAACAGCACACAGTAGGTAATCAAAAATGTTATTGTTGTTATTATATAAAGCATCTTGTGCAGGACTGAAAATTCAGAAAGTGCTAAATATTATTGTGTAAAGTTGCCTAGTACAGGGATCCACATACTCGATACTCAAAATTATAATGATTATTATTACAGCTATTATGATCACCGTGATTGAAAGTGCCTAATTGAGAACTAGCACAGAGTATATTTTCATTAAAGAGCAGCCAGCACAAGACTTAGCACACAGTTGTTGCATGTCAATGAGTCAATTCCGACTCATAGCGACCCCACAGGACAGACTAGAACTGCCCCTAGGGTTTCCTAAGCTGTAATCTTTATGGGAGTCGATCACCAAGTCTTTTCTCTCTTGGTGGGTTTGAACTGCCAACTTTTAGGTTAGCAGCTGGAGTACTAAACCATTGTGCCAACAGGCCTTCTTTGGCACACAGCAGTTAGTTACAAATACTACAATTGTTGCTATAGCTTTTTTTCTTTTTTTTTTTTAATGTAAAGTGCGCTAGCACAAGGGCCTGACACATAGTAGATGCTCAATAAAAGGTAATGTTTTTACATGAAACGTGTAGTCCAGGGCTGAATTCACGTCTTCATTTATGTAACAATTATGTGTGGAACTGTAGTTCCTGGGTCTTGCAAATGGTTAACACATTAGGCTGCTAACTGAAAGGTTGGAGGATCAAGTCTACCCAGAGGAACCTGTGAAGAAAGACCTGGTGATCTACTTGCAAAAACTCAGCCGTGGAAAACCCTATGGAGTGTGGTTCGACCCTGACGCACATGGAATCACCATGAGTTGGAGTCAAGGGCAACTGGCTTTGGGAGGCAGAAACTGTTGAGGACACAGCAGGGAAGAAAACCAATGAAAATCACTTACTTATAGTGGGGAGAGCCAGAAAATAAACACATCTAATAAGGTGATAGGGAAAAGAGAGACTAGAGCAGGGTAAGAGGGACTGGGAGTATTGGAGGCGGGGCAAACTGGTAGAGGGAGATTGGAATTTCACACATGTGGGTCAGGTAGATCTCACTGAGAATTGGAAAAAGACTTAAGGAGATGGAGAAGTAAGGGAGGAGTATGTGGGTACCTAGAGGAGCATCCCAGGATGAGGGGTCAGCTAGTACAAAGGCTGGAGGGTGCCTGGTGTGTTCGCAGAACTAGGTAAGCAGAACTGAAACTGGGAGGAGGGTAGGAAGAGGGGAAATCAGAAAAGTGAGGCCTGGAGTAAATGATGGAGCCCTTTAGGGACCAATGAAAGGGGTCTAGCTTTTCCTAAGTGACATCAGGAGCTACTGAAAGCAGTAGTGTCACTAGGATTGGTGTTACCCAGCAAAGTAACTCAGAGTATTACCACCGCCTTGTGCAGACTGGCCAACAACACTCCCCTGCACCATGGGCAAAGCAGTCTGACCCTATGACACACAGCTCCCATAGCCCCTTGTCTTTCCCATTCGCCAAGGCAGAGACCCTCCTCTCCACACAATGACTGGCAGGTGAAGGGGTAGATGTGTAGGAGTGATGAGTTATCATGCTTGGTGACAGGTGATACCAACCCTAGTGATGCCACTGCCTTAGTGGCCCCTCCCCCGAGCAGCACTGGCCTGCCCTGGGGTCATCTTGGTATCACCCTCTCTGACAGTATCAAGGGCTAGGGTCCAATCCTCCTATACACCCCCAGTGACACCACTGGTTGGAGGGTTTTGAGCAGAGGAGTAATGTGACTGACTGCCCTGTTAAGAGGAGATTGCAGGGCATAAGTGACGGAGGATAATGCCATAAGCTGGGCCAGGGATGTTGACTTGGACTAGGATAAAGAAGAGAGGTGGTGGGCACTGGGCAGACACGTTCTGAAGGTAGAGTCAATTGGACTTGCTGATAGATTGTATGTGGCATGTGTGTGAGAAAGGAGTCAAGAAGGACTCCAAAGATTTGGATGTTAGTAACTGGAATGATGGGTTTTTCATCAACTGAGATGGGGAAGGTTGCAGTGAAACAGATTCAGGGGAGACTAGAAGTTCAGTTATGCATGTGTTAGATTTGAAGTGTCAGTTGTTGTTGTTGTTATGTGCCATCGAGTCAGCTCCTACTCTTAGGGACCCAATGTACAACAGACAAAACACTGCCCAGTCCTGCACCATCCTCACAATCCTTGCTGTACTTGAGCCCATCGTTGCAGCCACTGTGTCAGTCCGTCTTGTTGAGGCCCTTCCCCTTTTTCTCTGACCCTCCACTTTACCAACCATGATGTCCTTCTCCAGGGGTCCCTTCTGACAATATGACCAAAGTAGGTGAGACAAAGTCTGGCCATTCTCACTTCCAGCTGCACTTCTTCCAGGACAGATTTGTTAGTTCTTCTGGCCGTCAATGGTATTTTCAGTTTTCGTGGCCAACACTACAATTCAAAAGCATCAACTCTTCTTTGATCTTTATTAATTGTCCAGCTTTCACATACATAAGAGGCGATTGAAAATACCATGGCTTGGGTTAGGCACACCTTGACTAAGGTGACTTCTTTTCTTCTAAATACTTTAATGAGGTCTTTTGCAGCAAATATGCCCAGTGCAATATGATGTCTGATTTCTTGACTGCTGCTTCTATGGGTATTGATTGTGGATACAAGTAGTATGAAATCCCTGATAACTCAATCTTTTCTCTATTAATTGTTATGTTGCTTATTGGTCCAGTTGTGAGGATGTTCGTTTCTTTACGTTGAGGTATAATCCATATTGAAAACTGTAGTTTTTAATCTTCATTAGTAAGTGCTTCAAGTCCTCTTCACTTTCAGCAAGCAAGGTTGTGTCATCTGCATATCACAGGTTGTTAATGAGTCTTCCTCCAGTCCTGATGCTGCGCTCCTCTTCATATTGTGCAGCTTCTCAGATTATTTGCTCAGCATACAAATTGAATAAATATGGGGAAAGACACAACCCTGACACACACCTTTCCTGATTTTAAACCACACAGTATCCCCTTGTTCTGTTCTAACAACAGCCTCTTGGTTTATGTACAGGTTCCTTGTGAACTCAATTAAGTGTTTTGCAAGTCCCATTCTTCGCAATATTTTCCATAATTTGTTATGATCCACATCGTTGAATGCCTTAGCATAGTCAACAAAACACAGGTAAATATCTTTCTGGTATTCTTTGCATTCAGCCAAGATCCATCTGACATCAGCAGTGATTTCCCTTGTTCCATGTCCTTTTCTGAATCCAGCTTGAATTTCTGGAAGTTCACTGTTCATATACTGCTGCAACCAGTTTTTTAATTATCTTCAGTGAAATTTTACTTGCATATGATATTAATGATATTGTTCAATAATTTCCAGATTCTGTGGAATCACCTTTCTTTGGACTTGGCACAAATATTGATCTATTCCAGTTAGCTGGCCAGGTAGCCACCTTCCAAATTTCTTGGCATAAATGAGTAACCCCCTCCAGTGCTACATCAATTTGTTGAAACATCTAAATGGATTATTCCATAAATTCCTGAAACCTTATTTTTCACCAATTCCTTCAGTGGAGCTTCGACTTTTTCCTTCAATACCATTGGTTCTTGATCATATGCCACCTCCTGAAAGGGATGAACATCACCCAATTCTGTTGCTGCAGTGATTCTGTGTATTCCTTCCAACTTCTTTTGATGCTTCTTGCGTCATTCAATATTTTGCCCATAGAATCTTCAGTATTGCAACTCAAGGCTTGAATTTTTTTTCCCTCAGTTCTTTCAGCTTCAGAAATGCCGAGTGTTCTTCCCTTTTGGTTTTCTAACTCCAGGTCTTTGCACATTTCATGATAATAATTGACTTTGTCTTTTTGAGCTGCTCTCTGAAATCTGTTCAGCTCTTTTGTCTTGTCATTTCTTCCATTTGCTTTAGCTATTCTCCATTCAAGAGCAAGTTTTGGAGTCTCTTCTGACATTCATTTTGATCTTTTCTTTCTTTCCTGTCTTTGTAATGACCTTTTGCTTTCTTCATGTATGACATTCCTGATGTCATCCCACATCTCATCTAGTCTTCAGTCATTGGTGTTCAGTGTGTCAAATCTATTCTTTAGATGGTCTCTAAATTCAAGTGAGATGTAATCAAAGTAATATTTTGGCTCTTGTGGACTTGTTTTAATTTTATTCAGCTTTAACTTGAATTTGCATGTGAGCAATTGATGGTCTGTTCCACAGTCAGCTCCTGGCCTTGTTTTTACTGAAGATATTGAGCTTTTCTGTCGACAGATGTAGTCGATCTGATTCCTACATATTCCATCTGGTGAAGTCTGCATGTATAGCTACCATTTATGTTGTTAGAAAAAGGTATTTGCAATGAATAAATCGTTGGTCTTGCAAAACTCTATCATGCAATCTTCCATGTCCTTTCTATCACCAAGGCCATATTTTCCAACTACTGACACTTCTTTGTTTCTGCCTTTCACATTCCAATCACCAATAATAATCCATTCATCTTGGTTGCATGTTTGGTCAATTTCAGATTGCAGAAGTTGATAAAAATCTCTAATTAGTCATCTTTGGCTTTAGTGGTTGGTACATAAATTTGAATAATAGTAATTCAATAAATTTGAATAATTGTTCTTCCTTGTAGGTGTATGGATATTATCCTATCACTGACAGCATTGTGCTTCAGGATAGATCTTGAAACATTCCTGTTAATGATGAATTTGGTGCCATTCTTCTTCAATTTGTCATTCTCAGCATAGTAAACCACATGATTGTCTGATTCAAAATGTCCAATACCAGTCCATTTCAGTTCACTAATACCTAGGATATTGATCTTTATGTGTTCCATTTCATTTTTGACAACCTCCAATTTTCTGAGCTTCATACTTTGTACATTCCATGTTCTGATTATTAATGGCTATTTGCAGCATCTTCCCATTTTGAGTTGTGCCACATCAGCAAATGAAGGTCCTGAAAGCTTTACTCCATCAATTACATTGAGATTGACTCTGCTTTGAGGAAGCTGCTCATCCCCAGTCATATTTTGAGTGCCTTCCGACCCAAGGGGCTCATCTTCCAGAACTATATCAGATAATGTTTCAGGGCTATTCGTTAAGTTTTCCAGTAAAATATCAGACAATATTTCACTGCTATTCATAAGGTTTTCAGTGACCAATTTTTTCAGAAGTGGATGGCCCCATCCTTCTTCCCAATCTGTCTTAGTCTAGAAGTTCTGCTGGAATCTGCCCACCATGGGTTAACCTGCTGGTATTTGAAATACTAGTGGCACAGCTTCTAGCCTCACAGCAACATGCAGGCCACCACAGTAGGGCAAATAACAGATGAGTGGTGGGAGATGTCAGCTAGGCAGTTAAAAATATGAGTCTGAAGTTTAGGAGACTCAGGCCAGCCCTACACATTGGATGTTGTCAGCATGGAAATGATATATAAAACAAAGAGACTGGATGAGATCACCCAGGGAGGGAGGGTAGATGAGGAAGAGATAAGGAGCAAAGCCTGAGCCCTGGGGTCCTTGACGTAACAGAGGTCACAGAGAAGAGAAAGAACCAGCAAAGAAGGTGGAACAGCCAGTGAGTCAGGAAGAAAACCAAGAGAGTGGAGTGCTGAGGCCAAGGGAAGAAATGGGACTAAATAACAATGAGGATGAGGATGGAAGTTCTATGCTCAGAGACACATCATAAGTATCATTACCATCATGATGCAAAGCACTTAGTCTCAGGCCTGGCACATAATAGGTCATTATCGTCATTGCATTATCATGAAATCTCAGCCCAATAGTTAACAAGATGTACACGCAGACCACTCAACCCAGGATGACACACCCACATACTCTATGGTAATACATCCCTTAGAGCAATAGACTGCGGGGCACCAGAGGACCAACTTTCAAACTGAGGAAATGCAGGACAAACAGGAGTGCATAAATATTAGGGGCACA